TGGCATGTGCCAATGCATCTCACTATTCAAGTGATCAATTCAGTTCACAATTGATCATAATGAAAGGACTAAGAGTCAAAGGGAGCACATAAACAAGTCTAGTATCTGCTAACACTAACCGATAGAATAAATAAAGGGGAGAGTGATCCAACATGGGAAGTGAGATACTCAGCAGACTCATAGAATGGCAGATGTCCTAAATAGCACTCTGGCCTCAGAATCAGCCCTAAAGGCACTCGGATCTGGCTGAAAAGCCCATGAGAGTATTTCAGGCATGGAAAGCCAAGACACTCTGGCAAAAAGATCTCTGTGAGTGAGATCCCAGTGGAAAGAACAGGTCTTCAAAGAGGGAGGTGCCTTTCTCTGAAGGGAGGAGAGAACCTCCACTTTGACTATGACCTTGTCTAAACAAGATAAGAGTCGGAGAACTCAAGGGGCTTCCATAGCCTTGGAAACTCATGACTGGTGCATAGGGAGATTACTGATACCATAAACAGGAGTGTCAATTTGTAAAGTCAACAACAGGAGTCACTGTGCACTTACTCCTCATGTAGGATCTCTGTCCTTAATGTGCTGTACACTGAGGCTTAATGCTATAACGAGTACTCAAACAGTATATTTCACTTTGTGTTTCTATGGGGGTGCAAACTGTTGAAATCTTTACTTAATGTACACTAAACTGATCTTCTGTTAAAAAAAAAAAAAAAAAAGAAAAGAAACTATCAATTCCCAACTTGACTCTCACTGGGATTAAACATGACAATAGGTCTGATCTGATTTCATCATCATTTAAAAAAAAATCATCTATTATTTTTCACTTTATGTTTCTGTGTGGGAACAAACTGTTGAAATCCTTACTTAAGGTATACTAAGCTGATCTTCTGTATACTAAGATAATCGAAAATGAATCTTGATGTGAATGGAAGGGGAGAGGGAGTGGGAAAGGGGAGGGTGGTGGGTGGGAGGGACGGTATGGGGGGGAAAGCCATTGTAACCCATGAGACGTACTTTGGAAATTTATATTCATTAAATAAAAGATAAAAAAAAAACTTAATTGGCATTCATAATGTGTCAGTTTTTTGATAGTTTTCTGATTTTTTTTGTGTTAATAGTAAATTTTAAAATTACTGTACATGGAAGATCAGATTAGCTAGCTAATGTTCCATTGTAACTCCTACGTTTTCCACCAGATGTCACTAATGCTGTAATGTTCAAATTGAGCTGAATGTCTTCAGACTGCAAGACTAATATTCAGCTTTTATGGTTGGAAGTTCACATGGGGATTTCTGGGTTCAAACATATTACTGCATCAGATTAAAATCACTTAGCATCTTTGGTTTACTACATCTTTGATGTGAATTACTTCACTGAAATCCGTGCTCTTGTGAGAAGTTGAATTGTGGGCTCCATGGGCATATCAGTTGTACTGTTGTTTAAAGTTGAGATGGACTGTTGCTTCTGTCTTCAATCAAGGAAGCCCATCCATGACTCCCCCCAGCTTCCATTACAGAGAGAATTGGAGGAATTTCTTTTTGGCTTAACTTGCAAATAATAATGTATTGTTCAAGCTTATTAATATATGAAATATATTTCAAGTTATTGTGCTCAGTGACTATAATCAAAATTTATGTTGTAATAAATATAGAATAAAAGCTGTCCCCTCTATTTCAAATGTTATTTATATTTTCTAAAATCAGATCTTTAGAGATCTTTCCATTCTAAATGGGTTATGTCTTTGAAAGCCAACAGTATTCAGTTTGGCTACTTCATCTATTAGAGTTACAATTCTGTTTTAGTCTAGCAAAAAGCTTGTAGCCCAGCAACCAGACCATTTAAAAATGGGTTGGCAGAAAAAAGTCAGAGCTGACACTCTAATAACTTCAGTTGTTTTGTGTTAACTCATTCTCTATTATTCTCTGCTATCATCTGATATATTTTTATAAGAGAGAAATGCAATATAATTATTTATTTGTAGAGTCTACTTCAACTATGTTTATTTGCATCATTTTCTAGGCAAACATGTTTTCTTTTTTTAAAAGAGTTTTTATTTATTTGAGAGGTAGAGATATAGACAGAGAGAGGGAGAGACAAAGAGAAAGCTCTTCCATCCATTGGTTCACTCCCCAAATGGCGGCAATGGCTGAAGCTGGGCTGATCTGAAGCCAGGATCTGGGAGCTTCTTAGGGGTCCCCACTGTGGTTGCAGGGGCCTAAGCAGTTGGGCCATTTTCCATTGTTTTCCCAGGCCATAAGCGGAGAGCTGGATCAGAAGAGGGACAGCCAGGATATGAACTGGCACCCATATGGGATATGGTGCAGCAAGTGGAGGCTTAGCCTACTGTGCCATAGCACTGGTCCTGGCAAGTTTTCACAGTCAGACTTAGAGCAGACCAAAATTTTTAAAATTTAAGAGACTTTTATTTTATCAGTTAGAAAGATAGAGAGACAGGAAGACAGGGACAAATGGGTAACATGATCTCTCATTTATTGATTTATTCCCCAAATGTCTTTAGCAGCCAGGGCTGGGTTAAGCTGAAGTCAGGAGCTAGGAACTCAGTGTAGGTATCCCACATGGATGGCAGAAACCCAAGTATTTGAACCATCATCTGCCTCCCATGGTGCACATTAGCAGTAGGCTGGAATCAAGAAAGGAGCTGGGTCTCAAACCCCAGGACTCCCAAGTGGGATACTGGCATCCTGAGCCAAACAACTTCCCACAAAATCTTTATGGTCTTGGAACCTTATCTGTGCACCAAAAGGCCTCTAAATATAAAATGGACCACATCTACTTCATTTTGATGCAAAGGAAATATCTTGAACATCTTTGAAAACTGTCTAGACATGGACATATAATAGTGGATGTCTTGGGTCGTGGGTGTGAATTTACTTTCAGAAAGGGCAGACTCACTTTCCAAGTATAGAAATTAGTTGTTTTGAAGATGTGTTGATTCTGGTGGCCACAATATTTCTACAAAACAGCTTTTGGATTGTGTATTTGCAACGACTAATAGCCAGCATAGCTCTGTAAAACAGGCTGTGAGTATAGAGCTTCCAGATCTGAAAAGGGAGCTTCATGGGTTTGGATCATCTCCTGTGCCAGGCACCAGTGAGGTGCTCACACCTGTTCAGTGAGCTTTGGAGTGAATACAGGTTGGGTTGATGGGGAAGTGGGAGACTTGGGCCACATGCTATTTTGGAAAGATTCCTTTGCTGCTTGAGATAGAGTGAGAGAAAGAAGGCTGCAGTACCATTTTCTGATATCAGGATTGGAATACAAACTAGAATAGTGGAGCATTAAGTTTCCCTCCCTGCATTTGCCTGTTTGTTCTTCTCTCATCACGGAACAGTGTCCTTGTTTAAGGGGATTTGAGGTAGCCTCCAGACAAGCAGTTTAAGACATTTTTTTCTAATCATAGATACTTAGATAAACAGATAGGTGTCCATTTGTATTCGGAAATATGTATACCTAAAGTATTTTGGCACATTGCTGTAAGCAAAAGATTTCAAAAGTACACCATGAATATCTTAATACACCGGGATTTGATGGTGATAAGCTGATACAGAAAAATCATGGAGGAGGATTGAGAAGAAATGCCACCACCCACAGGACTGCACGAGTAATCAGAGGTGAGCCAGGGTGGGCTGTTCATCCCCGTGGGAAGTCTGCATGCTCCTAGGACTGTTGCCTTCTCTATGTCTAAGCCCTGCATCTTTCTGCTGTTAAGTCCCTCTTAGACTGCTGATGAGCATTCTAAACTGAGAATCCATTCCCTATTCTAGTACTCATTGGTAATCATGGAGTGCACAGCTGGTGAGTCTCTATATCCTGAACCCATATTGCCTATTAGCAATTATGCTCCCACAAATCCGTGTGAGTTTCCGTGTGTGTGTGTTGTTTCTGGTGGCATTGTTGTTGCTTCTGGGAAACTCGTCATGTATGTCACTGTTTTGTCAGTGAGCACTGGAGACATTATTCTTTCTTGTGTTTTCATGTCCTCATGTCTAGTGTCGAATGCTTTCAGCACCTCAGTGCAAGTTGGGGTACGTCTAGAGAAAACTTCTGAAGTTTCTCAGGTATGTTCTCTTCAGGAGTGAAGTGAAATTCACTCTTCTCTCTGAAAACAGAAGGAATAGAATACCGACTGCTATCCTTCTCCCTCAGCACTGTAACTTAATAGATGATTTTCTGTTTATTTGGTTCTAGTAATTTCATCACCCTGCCACAGACTTGTCATTCTTGCCTAGAGAGATCAAATAGGTCTCAACTGGCAAGTAGTTGATGCTAATTAATAATTAAAAAAACTATAAGGACACAGGAATGATCAATGAATCAATGTTAACTCTTGTCAAGTAATAACAGAATAATTCCATTGCTCTGTAAAACATTAATGAGATTCTAAATGCCATGGATTAGTCAAAAGTTAGTTCAAAAGGTTGGTCCATTAAAAAGAGAGATCTTGAGAACCAGGTAGAAAGACCCCAGATAGCCCACACATGAGGATGATTGTTCTTTATTACTCTTTTACTTCTTTTTAGAATCTGATCATGAATCTAGGAAGAATGGCTGCCACCAGAGGAGGGGTGGGAGTGAGGGTAGAGCCGAGAGCAGCAGGTGCAGCAAACTTTGCATTTTTTTGTTCTCATTTTAACTTTTATTGGATAAAGTGAATATACAGACACATACAAAACATCAAACAACAAAAAATAAATTCTCCACCTGGCTTTTTTCCCACACTTCCCACTTCTAATCTAGCTCCCTATTTTAAAGCCTCTTCTGTTATGTTGGTGGTTATTGTATTTTTTTAATCATTTTCTAATACTCCCACTTCTTGGCTTTCAATGCAGTTAGTGCCTTAGTGAGTTTTGTGATCCGCACAGACCACTACACACTGTGTAATTTATAAACACTGGAAATTGATTTGGCTCATGGTTCTGGGGACTGGGAAGTCCAAGATTAAGAGACCACATCTGATAAGGCCTTTTGCTGTGTCATAACATGACAACTAATAGAAGGGCAAAAGAGCTCAAGGGAACATGTGAGAGACAGCAAGACAGGCCTGTTACACTCTTTAGAAAAGACTTATTAATTTATTTTAAAGGCAGAGGGACAGAGAAAGATCTTTCATCTCCTGGTTCACTGCCAAAATGGCCACAACAGCAAAGTGTGGGCCACACTAAATCCTGGAGCCAAGAACTCCATTCTGATTCTCCATGTGGTTGGCAGGGGACCAAGTACTTTGGCCATGATCTGATGACTTCTCAGGTGCATTAGCAGGGAGTTGAAGTGGAAGGAACTCAAACCACTACTCCAAATATGGAATGTCAGCATCACAAGTAGTAGGTGAAGCACTGTGCCACAGTACTGGCCCTCCTAACTCACTTTCCTTTCATACCAATTCCTTGGATACTGAACCCACTCCTGAGTAAAGGACTTTAATCCATTCATGAGGCAGAAGCTTCATGATGAAAATACTTCCCAATGGACCTTACTTCCCAAAACTGCTGCACTGGGGGTTGAGTTTCTAGCACAAGACTTTGGGAAACAAATTCAGAAAACTGTAGCAGAAGGAATCTACTGAAAGAAGAGATAGTTTGGCCACATTTCCACATTTCCATGTCTATCTACACCTATGACTTCCAAGTCATATTGTTTGGGTCTTCTGGTGGTTATCTTTTCAATTTTAAAGAATATGTTGAAATTGTATATTTTGTTGTCTGTTTTAGTAAACACATTTGTGTGACATTACCTGCCATATCTCTCTACTACTTTAACATTTATGTTGTATTATTTTTAGATACATACTTCTATTGCTTTTACTCTCAGAATTATTATTGTCTTTCATGTTTTTTTTGTATGCTGGCTGGGCAAACTGAAATAGCATTTACATTATTCCAATTATTAAATTGCCCCATACTCATGGACCACTTAGAATGGGTTTACCTGTTGAGGGAAAACATGTAATCTTAGGACATTAAAAACGGAAGGCCGGCGCCGTGGCTCACTAGGCTAATCCTCCGTCTTGCAGTGCTGGCACACCGGGTTCTAGTCCCGGTCGGGGCTAGCTCTCTGATGTGGCCAGGGAGTGCAGTGGAGGATGGCCCAGGTGCTTGGGCCCCGCACCCCATGGGAGACCAGGATAAGTACCTGGCTCCTGCCATTGGATCAGCGCGGTGTGCCGGCCGCAGCACGCCGGCCGCAGCGGCCATTAGAGGGTGTGGCGGCCATTGGAGGGTAAACCAATGGCAAAGGAAGACCTTTCTCTCTCTCTCACTGTCCACTCTGCCTGTCAAAAAAAACAAAAAAACAAAACAAAACAAAAAACTGAAATACATTTGTCAAGTGTTAGATCAAATGGGATTCCTTAAGCTTAGCCTTCAAACCCTCAAGAAATTACTCATTTGGCTGATGGTGTGTTTAATTTCTAGGATCATATGCATAAAACATTAAATGTTTCTGAATGTTCGTTATTCATAGTCACTCATTCTTTCCCTTCTTGATTCTGGAAGTGTTAACTATTTTTAAATATCAGTTTTTTTTCTTTTCTTTTAGGTATCTATTTTTTTCAGGAGTTAACTGTTACAACTGTTTTCCTTGAACTTTGTCCCTTTGCCTCTTGTGTTATCCTGTTTTGCAGCTGAGTTTTTTTTTTTTTTCCCTTCATCTCTATGAATCATGGCAAAGAGTTCGTAATATTAGTACTACAGTTTCCTTCTGTGGTGTTAGAACTCTCCCTTTAATGAAAAGATGACAGTACCTATTTAAGGTGCATTTAGATTTTTTAAAAAGATTTATGTATTTATTTGAAAGGCAGATTTACAAACACACACACATATACACACTCAGAGCGGGGGGGAGAGAGAAGAGGTGTGTGGGGGGGGCGAGAGAGAGAGAGAGAGAGAGAGAGAGAGAGAGAGAGAGAGAATGAGAATCCTTACTTCATTCTTCAAATGGCTGCAACACCTGGGGCTTGGCCAGGCTGAAGCCAGGAGCTTGGAACTCCTTATGAGTCTCCCACATGGATGCAAGAACCCAAGGACTTGGGCCATCACCTGCTGCTTTCCCAGGTGCATTAGCAGGGAGGTGGATTGGAAGCAGAGCAGCTGGGGCTCAAATTGGCTCTCATATTGGATGATGGTGTTGCAGATGGTAGCTTAGCTCACTGCACCACAACACCATCCCCAACATAGATATTTTGTACATCCCATATCTTAACAGTTGTTTTAAATTTTTCAAATATTGTCTCAAAATTTTATTTATTTCTTAGTGTTATGGCACATTCTTATCTGGTACTCAGGGTTCCACTCATATCACTGAATGCAGTCTTTGTCCTCAGCTGGGTTCCTGAAAGGCTCAGTATGACTTCCAGTTACGTTCCACAGAGGGCAGAAAAGGGCACAGAGACAAGTGCTTTCTGTCAGGATGTGGGGATGCATCACGTGGTGGAGCAAATATGAGAGCATCAGAGCAGCAGATTGAGAAGGGAAAACTCACAGTAGCAGTGACTCAGGATGAAGATCAGGTTGAGCTCAGAGTGGAAAGCTCAGAGTGACAGGAAGGGGGAGAGACAGACGGAGAGAGAACTCTTCCTTCTGCTGGTTCACTGCCCAGTGGCTGCAGTGACTGAAACTGGGCCAGGCTGAAGCCAGGAGTCAGGAACTCCAACCATGTCACCCATGTGGGTGGCAGGGGCCCAAGTACTTGCACCACCTTTGTTGCTTTCCCAGACACATCAGTAGGGAGCTGGATTGGAGGAAGAGCAACTAGAAGTGAAACTGGCACTCCCAAATGGGATGATGGGGTTGCATGCAGGGCCTTAACATATTGGACCCCACTGCCACCCCAAGAAAGGGCTGTTAAAACTGGCCACCGTGGACAGCCTGGCCATTGTCATGAAGGTGGGTCTAAATGCTTAAATTAACAGGTGTCTCCTGCCAGCTCTGATAGCTGATGCCAACTTGCTGTCTGAGAGTTGGCAACAAGCTGCCCACAGAGGTTAAAATGTTCAGAACCAGCCGTGAAAGAGAAGAGAGTGAGTGAGTTTGAATGAGCACCCTCTCTAGATACAGAGAGTGATGAAGCCTCAGATACATGCCAGGTACATGAGTCTGCAACCTCCCTGGACAGGATGTGATGTCACATAGAGGAGTGTTTTTCCCTCCTCCACAGGGGAAAGCATTGCTTGATCATGGAAACACTGTGTAACTCAGGAACCCAACAATCCTGACTACAAAAGGTTGAATATGTGGCTCTCAGTTATTTAACTCCACTAAGCATCAGTCTCTACATCTGTGGAATGGAAACAAAGATTCTTAGCTACAATGTGAAGTGGAGGAAGTGAGATTGTGTCCGTAGGCTACCTGGCCAGGAGCTTGGCACCTTGTCATTGTTCCATGTATTTGATTTTACCACCTGTTCCTTCTCCCTTCTCTGGGCATGGAAACATACCCACGATACCATTTGCTAGTTTGCAAGGTGAAGGCTTCCTGCCTCCAGGAAGCATACCTGATGTTTACAGGATTACTGTGTTAGGTACAATCCTCAGTTCTCTGTAGTATGATCTCATGTAATTGTCCTGACACCCTCTGAGGAGCTCTGCCCATCATGTCTGCAAATACAGGCACTGAGACTTTAACAGATAACTGCTTTGCTCAGTGTCCCATAGGTAGTAAATAATGCAAGCAGATTCAAAACCACGTAGTTTGACCCCAAATCTCCTGCGATCATCTCTACAAAGACTTCTTTTTTTATTGCCATTTCAACACTCACTTAAAGTTAGTGAGAGAGAGAGAGAGACAGAGAGAAAGGTCTTCCTTTTGCCGTTGGTTCACCCTCCAATGGCCGCCGCGGCCGGCGCACCGCGCTGATCCGATGGCAGGAGCCAGGAGCCAGGTGCTTTTCCTGGTCTCCCCATGGGGTGCAGGGCCCAAGCACCTGGGCCATCCTCCACTGCACTCCCTGGCCACAGCAGAGGGCTGGCCTGGAAGAGGGGCAACCGGGACAGAATCCGGCGCCCCGACCGGGACTAGAACCCGGTGTGCCGGCGCCGCAAGGCGGAGGATTAGCCTAGTGAGCCACGGCGCCGGCCTAAGACTTCTTTTCTATATTGCCATTTCAACACTCATTTAAAGTTTTAAGGAAAAAACAGAATGAAGAAAATAGCTTTGTGTTGTGATGTGATGTGGTTAAATATTGGTATTACTGGCATAACATCACCTTGATATGCTATTTGGCATTTAGTGTAGAAACATCAGTGTTCAATGCAATAACTGAAGTAAGACTGCTGTGGTGTGAATTGTGTGTCTCCAAATTCCCATGTTGAATCTCACCTCTTTCTCCCTGCCTTGTAAAGAAACAGCAAGGAGATACCAGCCAGGAAAGGTGGCAAAATCAGTGGCACATCTGATCTTGGCCTTTCAGCCTCCCAACTTTAAGATAAATAAATGTCATATTTTTACACATTACCCAGCCTCAGATGCTTCTAAAGAAACAAACAAATCAAGACAAAAATAATAAAAATACCTATTTTGGGGCTGGCATTGTGGCACAGGGATTAAGTTGCTGTTTGTGATGCCAACACATATCAGAGTGTGAGCTGGGGTCCCTGCTGCTCTCATTCTGATTCAGTTTTCTATTAATGCACCTGAAAAGACAGAAAATTATGGTCAGAGTACTTGGACCATGACTATTCATGTTGGGGACCAGGATAGAGCTCCTGGCACAGCCTTAGGTGTGGAGTGAACCAGAGGATGAAAAATCTCTCTCTGGCTGTCCCTCTGCTTTTCAAGTATATAAATAAATAAAGAAAAACTTATTTTAGTATTGTATATAATGTTACTATATACAGTATTATATAATTTTATAGTAATATTCAATTGTACTGTATTTTTTGGGAGAACTGAATGAAAGTTTGCTGGTATCTCTGTGTTATTTGTTACAACTCTGTGTGAATCAACAATTGAAGAATCGAAACATGGGGCCAAAATCAAGGAAACCAGTATGTCAGCCTGTGAGAATCCTGGTTAGGACATGAGCCTCAGAGTGGTGACATCATAATGGTGGGCTGTCCTGACTACTGCAGAATCTGGTCTTTGTGGATTAGTCCACAGTGCTCTAGCGATTGCTGCAGACAGGTTTGCGTTCTAGTGCTTAAAATTGAAGAAAAAAAAGATGTTTTCATCAACCAAAAAACGTTTAAAACGTTTTGGACGTCATTCAAAAGTTCACTGCGCCAGGTAGGCCCTCCTTTTACTGTTGCTGATCATCCTGACAGACTGGGGGTCCCAGGAACTGTTCTCTGCTGGTGCCTGAAACAGGAACTTATAGCCTTAGCACTGATTTAATGAAAAGCTGATCATGCTTCTCAGATTACTGCCCTTGAGCTCAAGAGAGCAGATTTGTATGCTTAGGGGAGACATTGGCTCCATGGGAAATAATTTTCTGTAGGTCTCTGAAAGGGCTGCCTTATTTATGAAAGAGCTTCATTTGTTTTCACTCTAGTTTTCTTTCACTCTGATTTCCTTTCTCCCTCCCTCTTCCTCTCCCTTCCTTCCCTTCCTCTCTTTCTCCTTCTCTCTCTCTCTCTCTCTCTTTCTTTCAACTGATATCTAAGCATGCTCTGATGTTTAGAAACTTTTGGATGTTTCTATTATCATTTGGTATTATTTAGCACTTTCTCCTCCAAATGTGAATATTGATTTATGTAAGATGGGATTCAATTTAATAGACCCATCATTATACAAATTTTCATGTTAACATGAAAGTCAGTTATAATTACCTTTTCCCAAATCTTCATGTCATTCGTTTTACCTATGGTGGGTAAATTAAATAGGTTTTAAAAAAAAGTGTTTTCTCCTTTTTAAGCTCTTGGTAAGTAAAAACTCATATCTAAGTGGCCCTTAAGGCATGTAGATAGTGACTGAGGTAGAATAAGTGTTTATTAGGTAACAATTTATCTATCTCTCTCTCTATATATATATAAATTGCTTTAAAATATTAAGAAAATATTTTATTTTCAAGTAAAAATGTGACAGGAACTTTTGCCAATGTACATACCTGTTGCTGTCAATCAGAATGAAACAGCAGCAAATGATTATGGAGAACTTTACAGAATTTTGCTTTTGATATTTAACTTTTATCTTTCAATCTAACACTATAAACTGATATTGTTTTTCCACATCACACATTTTCTTATTGTATGTGCTCCAGTGATACTTGGCTAGGTAGAGACATTGGTGCTTTAATTTTGTTAATGTCTCTCAGTACCTTCTGAGCCTTCAGTGGCAGAAACCTGAATGTCCATGGTTCTTCTCAAGGAGTCTTCAAGATCTTTTTTCTCAGCTTCCTCAAACTTCTTCTAGTTTCCATTTCTTGCTGACTTCAAATCTACATTCAGATAGTTTTGTGCTTATTACAAGAAAGCACAGTCCCACAGAACAAAAATTTTTTTTTTTTCCTAAGTGCAGCTACAACTATTATCAGAGACTTAGTGACTTAAGATTGCACAGGGATGTCTTGTTCCAAGCCTGTAGGTCAGAGGACTATTTGGTCTTCTCTGGGTCCTCTGATTAGGGTCTGCTAGGGCCTGGTCATGGTGGTGGCAGGCTGCCCTTCTTCCTGGCGACTTTGAGCCAGCATCTGCTTCTGAGCTCATCCAGATCTTTGGCTGAATTCTGTTCCTTGAGGATGCAGTACTGAGGTTTCCCTTTCCCCACTGGCTGTCAGCTCATGGTTGATGTTGGCTTTTGGGAGCTGGCTGTGTCCTGTCTCACGTTCACATGTGGCTCCTACCTGTGTGATTCACTCAGCCTCTCTCTTACCCTTCAGCTCTTTGGCTCCCCCTTTTGTGCATCTCCCTGACTCAATCCATGTGACATTTCTTCAATTTCGGGGCTCCCGTGAGTAGTTTTGGCTCACAAGGTTAATCTCCCTAAAATATTGTTCACATTCTTACATCTGCACAGCCTCTTTTGCCAAGTGGTGCATTCATTGGTTGTAGGGGTCAGAGTATGTGCATCTTTAGGGTGGCCACCCTGCCTAGCACAGGCCTCCAAACAACCCTCCTCCCTTCAATTCTCCAAACTCATTTGTTCAGGGTCACCCATGACCTCCATGTTACTACATCCAGTGGTCAGTCCTCAGAAAGTGTCTGCCCAGCATTAGACGTGGTGGCTTGCTCCCTTTTTGTTACACTCTCAGCCTAGGGCCCTTCTTCCCCCTTCCCCATGGCCTCTGATCCTAGCTGCTGCTGCCTTGTTTCCCCCACCTCTAAGGGCCTGCCCTTGGGCACTGCCCTTGATTGTGGTTTCCATCCAGCTCCCGAAGTGTCCTCTTCTCTTCGATAGCTTTGAAAACTACAACCTCACTTGGCTTATAGCTGTAGAGCTGTTTGGGGACTTGAGTCTATAATTTTTAGCACAGGGCAACCACTAAAATTTGGCATAAACTGTCATATATTTGATCATGACTGTCTGTTCTGGGTGTTTGGTGTACCTAAGGGACAGCTCACCTCCTGCGGTTGACAACCGAATTGAAAAGAACACATTGTTGGAAGGTGTCGATCATGAAATCCTGATCCATGGCCCTGTGACCTTAAGAGCTGGGTTGAAGAAAAAGAAGCATTTGGCAATTTTATATCATTCGGTTTTACTAATATCTAACTCAAGGTATGCATATACTATATACTGTCCTGATTTTCTTAAAATATATTACCACTAACAAATTGTGTTTTCATGAACTCTTACTATAAGCAAATAGAGTGATTTTACTTTTGCTTTTGCAAATATTTTGATTCTTCATTTAACCAACAAATAACATGGAGGTCCTGGTTTGTGTTGTGCCACTGTAGAAAATACAATCAAGAATGGGGCAGTTTTTAAAAAACAATTTTATTTACTTTGTACATCTATTGTGGATATCAGAAAGGATAAGCAGTCAAAGGTATTTGAATTTGGCTTATATACCTCAGACCTTTGAGACAGAGAAAACATAGATTATTTGATAGGGTGCTTTTGAGTGCTGAATGCTGCCACCTTACCTAAGATCTTATCACATATTTTAGCAAATTGATTGCAGCCATTACCATCGTAAATGTTTGGATACATTCACAGTCACTATCAGTATGACAAGCTTCTTTGTTAAGCAATAATATACTTTGTAAAGAAATAACCCCGTTATGTGAACAAACTTATTTCTTCTTTGTAACACCTCACTCTCACAATGGAACATTGTGTTATGCCTTGATTCAATTAATTTGGTCAAATCAATCACCCCAAATCAGTGCAGCATTGTTCCTCTTATCCCGAGAGAGAAACTGGGTGACTTAGGTTCCCTTAGACTTCAGCCCACCTTCAGGTTCTGGGGAAACTTGCTGACATTTTAGGGTGATGTAGTAACCAAGTTCAGCAAGTACTTGATCAAGTGACATGTATGCACTTTGTACAGTAAGTGAATTTTAGTTTGTATGCAATAATGAAGAGGATTTAATTGTTTCTTCACAAAGGCCATTTTCAATCTTTGGCCTCTGAAGTACTTTTTGAAGTACATGATATGTAGATAATAAGAGTGACTCTCTCAAAAAGTAGTATCTTTAATATACAGAGTGTGCTCCATGCCCCATAGTCAGCATTCAGAGAAAGAGCAGTCCATTGGTAGCTATTGGCTACCTGCAGTTCTGTGTGTTCAGGTCTTCCTGGGCCAGCCTTTTCTGAGGACACTCTTGGTGAAGGCCTCTCTGTGCTCTGCACTGAGGGAAACAGATGTGAAGGAGAGGTGGTTGTCCTGAAACAGGGAGAACCTGGGTTTCCTCAGGAGCTCAGCTGTTGAGAATTTTGTCAAGTAGCCAACTAACAGAGACTTTGCTTGATTATCTTTCCTAGCTATGAGAAGTCTCTCAACATAAACTACAGAATACCAGTGAACCACCTATGGATAGCTGAATGTGGACGTGATACACAGAGAAAAGGCAAACCCTGTTTAGTCGAGAGATCGTTCCGTCTGGGATGGCCACTGTTGAATTTTGTGGCCACTTTCCCGTAAGTACTACAACTCTATCTTGTTTTACTTGGACATGGAAGGACACAGTTGACCACCTCTTGTCCAGGATAGATAGAAAAAAGTCATTAAATTTTTGTCCAAACTTCTTTTTGAAAAGGAAAGCATCTTAATCTGCTCATGTAATATGGCACTGCTTCACATTTTGACCTCTAGTCATAGCACTTGGCTGCATTGTGCTTTCTCCCAAGAGGTTTTTGTATGCAAATACCACTGAAAGGATAGTCAAATAGTGGGAATTAGTGTAGTAACTTCATTTTTTTTTTCCAGCAATGACTTTTCAAAGGGGCTCTGGGAGCTACTTGGGGAGTAGGTGTTTGGTGTTTAGAAAGAAAATTGGAGGGAGTGAGGCTTGAAATACAATCCACTGTCCGACATCACTCCCCTCAAGATGCAGGTATTATCTTCCCCAGTAGAGTTTCAGATGAATTTATAGACTTCTCATATATTCGTCATTGATAGTTGCTCACCAGTTCCTTTGCACATACTAAACTTTAGCACAACAAGTGTATGGCATTCAACACAGAAAAATTATTAGTGTTTGACCCTTTATAGTGGGCATCTGTGAAGTTAATAGCTAAAAAGTAGTTGTTTACACAGAGTAGGGCTATTTTGTGTTCTTATGACCATTTAGGTTCACAAAGGGGATTCAGTTCCACCAAAACTTCAGTTTGAAGAAAGTTATTATTTAGAGATAAAGGATCAATAGGAAGGAGATGGTGGAGGATAAAGAAATAGGAGAGTGAGCAAGTGAGATTCAAGAACTCTCTGAGGTTTAATTAACCACTTTTTCAGTTGTGGAGACTGAGGCTTACAACAGTTCACATACTTTCCCATGGTCACAGAGCTTGCATCCCATAGTCTACTGTTTAAATTTAAATTTAATGCTTAAATTCCAAATCAGTGTCTTTCACTGTGAAACCTGTTTCCATCCTTGTGACGTTGCTGTACAAGAGCAGAGTTCATCGAGAACCTGAGTATGAGAGAACTACCTACACCTGCATTCCCACCAGCCGCCACTGCCTTCTGGATGGTAATCTGCAATGACCGTCCCAGCATGGTAGAATCTATGTTTTGTGACATCTAATTTTTCCCATTTGTCTAATTGCAGATCTTCAGCGATAAAAGAAAAATGGTATTCATTACTTGAAAGGTATTTGGCCAGAATACATGCTTTGAATCTTTAGTTTGTGATAGAAGTGTGTAAATTTCTGCAAGCCATGGCCCCAAATTATTTCACTATTAAAAATAGATACTTTGTTAAACTGTCCTCAAATAATTTCTGATTTGGACTTCTGCATATGCTTTCAATAATATTCCCTCATTTACATGCATGCTTTATTGTTGAGGAAGTTAAATGCCCCTCTCATCTTTTCCTTTTTGCCAGCCTGTGGCTTGGAGCTAACGTTATTCTCATTATGTATTACATTCCTGTGAGTGCAGCTTACTCTACTGAGTGAGGCTCAAAGTAATTGCCCCCTCCTACTCTTCAACTCTAGAAGGTTACAGGGCCTTCAATCCAGGCAGGAGTACTTTGAGTAGTGGATCACAGTGCCACCTGTGAGTCTCTGGACCATGTCTTATTTTCCAGAATTATTTTTGTTTATAGTTCCTATCCATACTTTGATCTTGCTGAATTATCCTGTAATATATATATATATATATATGTATAAAACATCAAATATACAGAAATTTTTGCAATATGGATTGATCTGAAATGAGCTGATAGCTAATTCATCTATTTTTGGTTATTACTGAATTTTATTAGGCAAATAAATTTAGCCAAAGAAGAGAACTACATGCATAGCATCCTTACTGAAATCAACATTGAGGCTATGAACAGAAGTACTTCTGTAAGTGTGTTTATTCAATTGAAGCTTCAAGTTCCTGACTTAGAGTAAAAGGGAGGTAGACAGGAATAGAGGCAGGGATTGTGAGAAACAAAGAAGTGTGCGTGTGTGTGTGTGTGTGTGTAGGTGATTAGCAATGGAAGGGGGAGAGAGAGGAGGGAGGGAGAGCAAGTGAGCGAGCATTTGGAAAGGACCATATGGGAAAATATATTTTCACATATAGTTCTATGTCTTTGTATACATAAAAAGTAATTTACTGGTAATATGAAGCAATAATAACCAGTAGTAACCCATAGTATCTGAATGGGCATGCTCAGAAATGATACCTGTTAAATGTACATAAACTGTAGTGTTTTGCTTTATTAAAGTATTTTCCACAAGGTGGTTTTTCTTTTGGAATTAAAACATTTCGTTCAATTATTGCTACTTTCAGAGTGTTGCTTCTTATTTTCATTTTTTAATGATATCTATTTTAAAATGCTTTTGTTTATTTTGGATGACTTGTCAACATACAGAAACGTACAAAAGAGTGCTAACTATATCACATGATTTTTATCCCAAGGTTCCTATTTGGTACCATTTTGCCCCACTTGCATTATTATTTATTTTTTCTGGTTTCTCTAGGCATTTGCATGTGAATATCTATTTCCAAAGGCCAGTTACATTCATTAAAGCCCTTCAGTACTGAATGCCTGTGTATTTCCAGGCAGTACAGTGGTTATACAGTCTCCACCTGTAAACTGAACACTGATATAATATTTTAATCTACCATTCATGCTCCCATTTTATCAGTTGACTCCTATAATGCTCCATTTCCTGATAGGGTGAACTCCAGGGTCAAGTATTGCATTGAGCTGTTGTTCCACATAGAGTGGATTTTGGAAAGGTGTTCCTTTCTGTAAAATGTCAGGACTGAATTGACTTGGAGGGATCACACTTTTAGGAGATCAGCATGTTTCTACCTCATTTTCCCATGCTGTTGGGAAGAATAGCTTCAATTGAGTAAAATTTGATTTATGAACTGTTGTGCACTAGATATCCCAGATATCTCATTTCTTTGTTCTTTATAGTAATTTTAGAACACACAAAATATTTTAGGAGGAAATAAAGCTAGTATAGAAAAGTGATTTTAGGCATGGAAAGCCAAGATACTCTGGAAAAAAAAAAGACTTAAATGAAAGATCTCTGCGAGTGAGATCCCAGTGGAAAGAAAGGGGCCATCAAAGAAGGAGGTACCTTTCTCTGAAGGGAGGAGAGAACTTCCACTTTGACTATGACCCTGTCTGAATAAGATCGAAGTTGGCGAACTCAAAAGGCTTCCATAGCCTTGGCAACTCATGACTAGAGCCTAGGGAGATTACTGATGCCATAAACAAGAGTGTCAAATTGTTAACTCAACAACAGGAGTCACTGTGTACTTGCTTCTCATGTGGGATCTGTCCTTAATGTGTTGTCCAATGTGAAGTAATGCTATAACTAGTACTGAAATAATATTTTACACTTTGTGTTTCTGTGTGGGTGCAAACTGATGAAATCTTTACTTAATATATACTGAATCGATCTTCTGTATATAAAGAGAATTGAAAATGAATCTTGATGCGAATGGAATGGGAGAGGGAGCAGGAGATGGGATGGGTGCGAGTGGGAGGGAAATTATGGGGGGGAAGCCATTGTAATCAATAAACTGTACTTTGGAAATTTATATTTATAAATAAAAAAATCTAATTGAAGAAAAAGAACAACAACAACAAAAAAGAAACTTAGGAGCATGGTATCCAATGAATGAAATTGTTTTAGTAAATTACAATCATACTTTTTTCTGATTTCCTTAACAAATGCCCTTTTATTAAGAGAACATCAGGGGATGAAACATAATAAAGACAATTTTTCCTGTAAAAAAAGAATTTAAAGGAAAGAAATAAGTTAGAAATGTATTTCTATCCAGTTTGTTTTAATATACTTAAGGCCTGTGGGAGTCCAATTTTGCTATTTATTTATTCTCTTTAAGCATTGCTTATCAGAGGACCCAGACCTCTTTATGGATTTGTCTGATTTCTCCAACTACATCCATGATACATGCTCTTGTTTCTATATTATCTTATTTAAAAACAATGTCTTGTATAGTATCTAGTGAACTCTAGATTTGATTTCACAAACACTATTCATGTGATTTTTCTGTAAATCATCTCCGGTTTCCATAGAGGAGTCTATGAATATGAGGGCAATAGAGAGCTGTTTTAGATCCCTTCTTGACTGGCAGAGCTGGGAATGAAACTTCAATTTCTAGAATGTTCAGTTGTAAGCCCTGGATTTATTGTCTCCGTAAGTTTGGTGATTAACTCAGATAAAATGCTCCTTCCATTCTGGTTGGTCAAACAAGAGTGGCTGTGATAGCCAGTTCTTAAGGGACTAGAAATGAATGTGTGAGAAGTTATGGTACTAAAATAAATGCCCTCTCAGCATTTGCAGCATTTCTTTTCCTCACCTAAGCTGTTTTGAGTGTCATAGCTTTTTTATTTAAAAAGAATTATATGCTTTACTGAAATTCTTTCTGTTGGCTTCCTGTTATATAAAGGAATGAAAATAAATTCTAACTAAGGACTAGTACTCTACTTTTTACTTTGTGAGCTTTAAAAACAAACTTTGTGTTTAACTTATGGATAACAATTGATAATAATTTTGTCATGTGCTCCAAAATTCTTCCATTTCAGCAATGTTTTTCTCCTTTTCCTTTTACAGTCTATAATTGTGACAGTAACCAATTTAGACACAGTGAATGATGTCATCAACCTATCACTGCCAGTACTAGGATTAACTGTAAGTAACTAACAGCCACTTTTAAATAGCAACCTTGATTTTTTGTGACTGATATATTTTCAAAAAGACATGTATAGAGAGAGACAGACAGACAGAAATACAATGGCAGAGATGTATATAGAGAAAAACAGAGAGAAAGAAGCTTGTATAGAGAGGTCCAACTCATTGGTTTAGTGCCTGAATGCACACTATGCACTGGGGTGTTCTGGAGCTGAAGCCTGGAGCCAGGAATGCAATCCAGTCTTGGAACAGAGTCAGTTGTTAGGGGGGTGGGTCACAGGACATTGATTTAAAAAACATAGTTCATTTTCTTTAGTATGCAGTGTTTTCCTTTGTTGAAGCAACTGGTATCATCAGACAAGAAAGAATTCCATTTTGACAAAGAGTTTGTCTATGTCCAAGTCAAGGTATTTCAACAGAAGCTTTTTAACTCCTACCTTAAAAGAAAAGACTTTCCTGAGATCTCACTTCCTATTGGCAGAACAATTTTGAGAATATTATGCTGTGTCTGTGTGTGTGTGTGTACGTGTGTGAGATAGCCTTCTTGTCTGGGATACTCTGTAATGTCAAGGTCTTGTGTTCTCATCAGGAATCAAGAGCAATCATACTAGCATTCCACACTAACTCCATCTGAATCATGTTTTTGCTTCAGTCTCCTTTGGAAGACACAAAAGTTATTTAAGAGATACACAGTGTAGGTGTGCTTGTTTCAACTAGCATTTCCAGAGCTGCTAGGGGGATTGTTTCCTGGAGCTGGCCTATTCCTCAGATTAGAGTCCTTGTCCCTTTTGTCTCCAGAATGAGGCTTGTCTGAATGGAAGCCAGTGGGCTGACATTCTGCTCTTTCAAGGTATCTTATGATATCCTCCAAGTGTTATTTGGTTTAAGCATAGTCATGGCAGGTGTGTGACTCCATAGGCAAAAGGGTTGTATGGACAAGGACACGTGAGGGTAAATGCAATATTCTCTAAAGAAACTGGAGATAGCAGAAGGTAGAATTCTCAGGATCGGACTTTCCTTTTAAAAAGGCATAAATGTGATTTCTCATTTCACGGAGCACACAGAAAGCACCCAGCCAACTACACTGTGGTTCCACAGATACATGGCCTATCAACAGCGATACAGCAAAAATGTGGGGTAGATTCTTGGAGGTTCTAAGAGGGACAGGAGGTACTTAAACAAACCAGTCTTGCTAACTCAAAAACTGTGGTCACCCCATTGGATGGAATAGCATTTACACTGGTCCGGTCCTTTTCTTGTTTGGAAATGTGGAAACACTAAGGAAATAAGTCCTGCAGGTATGTACTGATGAAGATTTGTTGTGATGCTTCATTCTTTTTTCTCCAAGGGCTCTGAAAAAGACTACCAACTCTTGGTCAGCTCTGCAAATGAAGAGGCTCCACAGCCTCTTATTGGTAAGATTTGTTTAATGCCAAATCTATGCCCAGAATGTGTATCAGTGTAATAAGAAAATCAAAATAATCACATTTCTGATAGAAAAGCCTATAAGGTTGAGTTTTGTAGCATTTGATCTAGAGGTCATTGATAAAAGGATTATACCTCTCCTAAGATAGTTTTGGAGCAATTTAGCTACAGAAAAAACAATTCAAGGATGAGCAAACTTGTTCATGTCCTTAATAGAAACAGAGTGGTTAGAAGGAGAGGAGGGAGAACGTTTGTCACAGACCTTGCAGTAAAATGTTGAAGATGATTCCTAGGAAGATCACACAGCATTTCCTCTTACCTGCTTACGGTTCAACAATCTTGGAAGCACTTTCATGTGTAACTTAGGATGTCTTCACGTAATCTGTAAAATTTAAATATGAAATTTCTTTTTTGGAAAGATATACTGCAGTCTCAGAATACAGGAATCGCTGAGTGCATCTGAGGAAACCTCCACCTGCACAATGCGCGTTTGTTTATTTATTTTTGGTGTTTTCGCTGAACATTGACATCTTTGCAAAAGTCAATAAAATAATGTAATAAATAATGTAATGCAATAAAATAATGTAAAAAAGGTAAAAACTGGCAATATATTTTAACAAAAGGCTTTAATTTACATAAAACATGTTCTACACATAGGCATAGAAAAGGTTCATACATCATGACTGGCTCTGAAGATTTTAAGAGCATATCATTCATGGTGGCCCCTTGGCTGCCATCCTGAATGTGTCCTTTAACAGGCTCTCAACACTCAAGTGTTGATTAACTCCTGCGCATCCTGACATTTTGGTTTTATTGTGCTAAAGTCATGGAAGTTTCTTTTCCTGTAAGACAGAAGTTACTATAATTCTTGTTCACTATCTGTGCCTGATGAAAAGGAAAAAAAAATAAATTAAAAAATAAAATTCAGTGATAGATTGTAAATGGAAAAAAGGGAACATTTATTTTTTGTAAAAAGAAAAACAAAACCCATCTTAGGTCCGGCACTGTGGTGTAGAAGGTTAAGCCACTGTCTGCAATGCTGGCATTGCATATGGGTGCTGATTCGTGTCCTGATTGTTCCACTTTTCATCTGGCTCCCCACAAGTGGACCTAGGAAAGAAGCAGAGGATGGCCCAAGACTTGGGCCTCTTCACCCACATGGGAGACTCAGATGAAGCTCTTGGCTCTTGACTTCGACCTAGCCCCGCCCCGACCATTGCAGCCATTTGGGGAATGAACCAGCAGATGGAAGATCTCTCTCTCCACCTCCCCTCTCTAACTCTGCCTTTATAGTAAATTAATAAAATATCAAAATATACATCTTAAGGCACAGGATATTTAAATTATTTTAACTTTTATTTAGTAGATATAAATTTTCAAAGTACAGTTTATGGATTACAATGGCCCCCCCCATAACTTCCCTCCCACCCATAGCCCTCCCATCTCCCACTCCCTCTCCCATTCCATTCACATCAAGATTCGTTTTTGATTATCTTTATATACAGAAGATAAAGTTAGTATATATTAAGTGAAGATTTCATCAGTTTGCCCCCACACAGAACACAAAGTGCCAAATACTGTTTGAGCACTAGTCAGGATATTTAAATTTTAAAAATTTATTTTCTGAGAGGCAGAGAGAGAGAGTCAGGAGAGACTGAGTAAGTGCTAAACTGCGCCTGAGGCAGGAGCCAGAAGCCAGGAACCAGAAACTCAATCCAGTTCTCCCATATGAGTGGCAGGAATCCAGCTTTTCAAGCCATCATGTCTGCCTCCCAAGGTCTGCATTAGCAGAAGGCTGAAATTAAGAACTATGGACAGGGATCAGACCCAGGCAGTTCAATGCGGGACACAGGAATCACCACAGGCATCTTCACTTTTGTGATAAATATCGACCCCCTATTATAGGATCTCTGAGAATTTCTCAGGTCACCAGCAATTTCAAGGATGTAAGAGTAAAATAAATGACTGGGCTTGCACTCTGGAAATAGTACTTTGCACAATGCCTCTAGGTTTCCAACACCCTGTTGCCTTCCCTTGGCTAGTTAGCTGGGAGGGCCCCTGAGAAGGAATGGTCACAGAAAACCATGGTTCCACTGCTCTTGAGCAGTCCTGACTATAGAGCTGACAACATAAAATGAAGTCTCTCTTGATTGCCAGCACAGGAGTGAGATTATTGATCACAGCAACTCATGACATGTATGGTCCAATAATTCACAGAATGTTAACCACTGATGTTTCTTCATGCATTTGCACTTAGATGTTTATGTGACAAGGGAGGTTAAGGATTGAAAATGATGAAGGTAATCATAGTGGGGTCAAGTAACTTGCAGGAGACATAAAAATCTAGTTGGTGTCAAGGCAGAAAATCAGGAGGCCTTATATATTTTCTGATGGAAACAGCAGACGTCACCAACATGGAATGCAGAGAGGGATGTATGCATTCCAAACTAGGCAACAGGTTTCCACTTTTGTTCTCTTTACTTTTGAAAAGTTCCTTGCTGGGACACCTGCTTTACGTGGTGTCTCTTCAGAGAGTTTGCATGATATTCACTCACAAGACAGCCCTCTTCTTTCCCAAAGCCCCAGGAGAACTTCAGCAGGCCCTAGTGTGGTACCCATGCTGATGACAAGGCATGTTTGATCATCCCCATCAGCCTGATCTGTATTGAAATTTTTCTCTGCATAGGACACGAAAATATATACACAATTCAAACAACCTACCTTCGAGCTGCGAACCCGTCACCTGCATCTGAGAATGCTGTCGTTCTTCCCAGCCTCCACGAATCTACCTTAGAAGAGTTGTGCTCACATGTATGTGGCTATTTCATTCTGAAACCCAGGTGCCAGGCCACAGGCCAGCGCAAGAGTGGTGAGTCCTTTCTTTTTCAGCAACTTCCTTCTTTCAGGTCACATCCCAGGTAAGAAATTCATGACCCAAAACTCCTCTCCATGAGGGAGGGGGAGCAGTAGAAACAGAAACCCTATGCCCATGCAAATTCAGGCTTACAGAATCCATTCAAAGACCAAACTCTGGTCTAGAAGTTTGTCTTCATTTCTCTGTGTTAGGTCTTTAGTCTTCTCTGGATGCCCTGGATATTTTCTGTACATAGTTGTGCCCATACCCACCTATGTCACATTACAGTGCAGCTTCTGAGAAGTCATGACTTTCCCATCCCCGGGCTTCTCTCTGAATCTCGGCTGAGAGCAGCAGGTGATCAATTTACTGCATGACTTAGACACACTCAAAGTGGAAGATCTCTAGGAGAGCAAAGATTTGTGCAGTTGAACTGGGATCTGTCCTGCCTTGGGCAGAAGTGGCTGAGGGGTTGTAGCCTGAACTGAATCTTTTTAAAATATTTATTTGAAAAGCAGAGTTAGAGAGAGAGAGAGAGAGAGAGAGATCGATTGATCTTCCATCCCATGATTCACTCCCCAAATGGCCCCAACAGCCAGGGCTCGGCCAGGCCAAAGTCAGAAGCGAGGAGCTTCTTCACCTGTGTCTCCCACATGGGTGTAGGGGCCCAAGGACCTGGACCATATTCTGCTGCTTTCCCTGGTGCATTAGCAGGGCGCTAGAAGGGAAGTCAAGCAGCCAGGACTTGAAACAGTGGCCATATGGGATGCAGTATCTCAGGCTGCAGCTTAACCAGTTATGTTTCAATGGTGGCCCCTTGAATGGACTCTGAATGAGCCCACAGCAAGCTGACTTTACACATCTGCTTCAGACACAGATCTAGATTAGACCCGACTGAATCTTTGTGGTTAGGGGTTTCTGAGCTTCCTGCTTTCCATTTTCCTGCTACCATTCCAGTGTTCTTTTTATAGATGTGTCTCTGCTGAGAAACTTGTTAGGAAAATGAGAAATATGGTGGCAGTAACTGATTTTCTTTTTTTTTTTTAAAGATTTATTTATTTATTTGAAAGTCAGACTTATACACAGAGAGAAAAGGCAGAGAGAGAGAGAGGGAGAGGAGTCTTCCATCCACTGGTTCACTCCCTAGATGGCCACAACAGCCAGAGCTGTGCTGATCTGAAGCCAGGAGCCAGGAGCTTCTTCCAGGTCTCCCACATGGCACAGGGGCCCAAGGACTTGGACCGTCTTCCACTGAACCTGAGTCTCTTCAAAACTCTGTATTTCATTGGCAGTTGATTTTAAAGGGGGAGAGAGAGAGAGAGAAATAGAGAGAGAAATAGAGAGAGAGAGAGAATATCACAGTGAGATAGAAATTTCATGTCCTTCAATTCACTCCCCAAATGGCCAGAAAGGGTCATGGCTGGGTCAGGGCCAACACTGGGATCTGTAAATTTAATCAGATCTCCCTTGAGAGAAACCCAATTTCTTGAGTCCTCAGTGCTGCCTCCTTCCCAGAGTCTGCATTTGAAAAAATCTGGAATCAAGAGGAAGAGTTGGAAATCAAACTTAGGTATTCTGATATGGGACTCGGGTATTTAACCACTAGTCTAAATATCTGCTTCCTATCTACAAGTTTACAGGAAATGGGAAAGAAGAATTCATTAATACCACATGAATGCGATTGGCCAATTTCAGAATGTAGGAGTTTCTACACAATAAATAACGCAACTTCTCTCTTTTCTCTAACTATGGTCGAAAATATCTGTCAGATAGAAAAGGTGGAAACTAGAATCTAGTTCACTCATCTACTCTAATAATCTCCTTTCCTCTCCAGGTAGGCGCATGACCCGACTGCTCAGGCCGAACAAGAGCAAAAAGCGGGGTGATCTGACCAAGGGGGACTCTTCAGCAGCTCCTTTGTCAGTCCGATTCTGTCCAGCCTCCCTCTTGGTGCTGTCTAGGAAGAAAAAACTGACGAGCCCACTTTCGGTAGGTCTCGCTTCAATCTTCTACAAACCTCCCAAGGACAGGAATGTTGAGGGTTAGGTGTCTTCCTGTTATTCTATTTCCAAATGAGGAAATCTTGTGTCAGCCCCTTCCTTTGGCTGAAATGCTTTATTACTATTACTTCAAGGAAGAAAAATCAGATTTAGATTTCACAGTCAGACACAAAAGCAAAAAAATGATATTCTTATTGGTTCCACTGATTTCAGCTAAGATCCACATAGAACTGATCAGAAAAACCACAAAGGGCTATGTGTGACTGAACCACTGTGTCCACCTCACCCTCAGATTCTCCTTTAACCTCTTCCTTGAACTCTGCATGAGTTTTCAGTGTCCTTTCATTGCTTCCTCCTCATCCAAATGACTCAATCTTGCAACTCAGCATATCTCACAGATATGCTATTTGTAGCTCAAATGCTTCCATACATCCTTTGGCATATATTCATGCTTCTATCATGTGAGAATGTGGCCCATTTTATTTCCAATTAATATACTTCATAATCACCATATTTGTTAATTGTCCAGTGTTCCCATGTACTCTACTAGATGTAGGGAGTGTTATGCTAGGTGGGAAGGAGTTTATCATGTTAGTTTCATGTTAAATATTGTCCAGACCTTGTAGAATTTGCAACAAGTTTAAGGAGTTGCTAGGACCATCATCCAGACATCAACAGTGGATAAAAAGAAAGTTAAGGTTGTGTGCAATGCCCAAAGTTAGAGTGAAAATGAGTGGGCTAGTAGATTAAACATTCTAGAATACCTGACCCTGAAAATCCTTTACCTTCTCCCGTGGGCATAAAGGTGGAGCAATAGGAAATGAAAATCTGGTGAGTAGAGAATGCAATCCGAGATAGATTCAGGGAAGAGATGGATTTTCAGCCTGGATTTAAATGAGTACAAGGGACTACAGGAAGTAGGAATGGGTCACAGTCACTGAAGCATAGTAAACCAATGATAAATAAGTGTGACAGCTAAGTTTCCCTATGTGGGCAAGATCAAGGATATTTGGAAGTACTGAGAAAAGCATAGTAAATTAATAAAGAGTGGTTCATTAGAAGTTTGAATCAGAGAAGTTTGATTTAAAAGTTCAGTGCACTGAAGAAGAAAATATGATTAAAGCATGTTGAAATTCTTCAGATGGAAGTGTTAAAAATATATTCAGAGATCCCAAAAACAATTTCCTTCATTCCTGTCAGCTCTCTCAGTGTCCCCTCACACACTCTTGCTGTTTTTTTCTAAAATGGAAAGAAAGAAAGAAAATAAAGAAAGTAGGGGTGAAAGGTGGGGAGAGAGTGTGAGTGAGTGGATATAGAGGAAGGGGAGAGAGGGAAGCATCATTATATTCTTAGAATTGTATCTGTGAACTACATTGAATCTCTTATCTTTGTATTAATATAACAGTATTGTGAAAATAAATGGAAATAAGCCTTTGTTCAAGGCTTCTGGATCTGTAATGCCCTATCTCTTGTTCTTTTTATTTGCCATAGGATTTACTTTACCTTATTGACAAAGGATCACAGGCAGAGGGAATATTCAGGAAACCAGGAAGCATAGCATCTTACACAGCCCTGAAGCAAAAAATAAGTTCTGGAGGTACAGTTGACTGGAGCAATGAATCTCCTCTTGTGGCAGCCGCTGTATTACAGGTAGGGAGAGTTCTAGCATCATGTATGCAAAACATGGAGGTATGTGGATGGTTTCATTCATCACGACTACTCCAAGGCTTAATAGATTTAATAGATGGAATACTCAAGAGACAGGAAATTGTAGCAGGCAGCTACTCCCTTCATTGTGTAAACATTGGATGTCAGATAAATTTTCCTTTTTCTTCAAACTGACGTCTGAACACTCCATTCTTAGAAGTTTTTGATGGTCAGCAAACATTTGCCATACAATGAATCAACAAATGCACATAGATGCAAAGAAAATCTTCAGTCATTTCCCCTGTCTTTTATGCCTTTTTAAGAATGTGGTGGACAAAGGACTCTGCCATTGTGCTTGACTTCACTTTGATCACCTTTGGTATACTTTGTTTTTTGGATTGGGCTTAGCCCAATAGTCACAGTTGTATTTGAACAGTAATCTGAGTATAACACCAGGCACATCTCAGAAATCTGAATTTAAAAGTTGATGCAGCAGTCAAAATTGGATTAGAATTCTGAAAATATAATCAATGTAAAATATAAGTAGGTTTCAAAAGATGCAAAAAATTCTAAATATCTAGGAACACTTGCAAAAGAGAAAATAATAACAGAAAGAATTGAACCCTTCCAGATACTTGAATTTTGTTAACAGCTATAGAAAAATATGCTAACACGATAATGTCTACAAATGGGCCTTCAAAACCTATGAGCATCTGTATCACATTTGGTCTTTCTTTATCCTCCATGTGTGGCCAAATGAGAAATAGCAATAGGCCACTGATGACTTATAGGTGACAAATACTACACTCAGATCATAGCAATATACTAGGGAACATACATGAGATTCATGTCACTTTCCAGCAAGACGTAGAGAAATTGCACTGAAGGCTTTAAAATCCTTGGGAAATACCATGGGAAATACCTGGAGAGGTGGTCCAGACTAGACACGAATATTTGATCAGGACCAAATTGAATTTGTCATTGAGCTGTCTATAAGCAGAAGGTAAAGAACAAAATGCAATTTTTAGAACAAGCCCTATCAATTGACTGTAGCATAGAAAAACCCGAGATAAGACACAAGTTCCAAGTGCATGACAGTCCAGTACACAACAGACAAAGGTACTCCTGAATCCTCCTAGACTCCCACATCCAGCCACAGCTGGAAGCTTTCTCTCTCCACACAGATAAGGATTACTCCCTGGAAAACACAGTGGATGACTCTAAGTACCAGAAAAGGGTACTGCACACCAATGACATAGTCAAGGTAGAAGAGGCCTGAGATTTTGTCCATTTTCTTCACTGTTTTATTTGCTGTAGTACAAACTATGTGTGGCAAAAGAACAGCTCAATAAATTTTAGAGTTAGTGAACTGTTGCTGGATTACAATTGCAGTAGTAGTTGGAATGCATCTTCAATATTCATTGCTATTGAGAGTCTTGAGGCTTCTAGTGAGACCAGTGGAAGGAAAGCTGGCAGGCAATATGACAGCCTGCCCTGACTGTTGTCCAAAAAATGTGACTGTTCACTAAAGTTTAGGAGAAGGACTGACTTTACAGTGGTAAGACTTGTTCATCAGCCACATGATGTGACCAGTATTCTGAGTTAGCAGTTAAGAAGCCTTCCTTTGCATGCATCTAGCCCAAATACTCTAAGCTCTCGACTGGTGCTTTGTTTAAGTTGTATGATTCCCTTGTATAGAGGGCATATATGTTCCAACACAACGATTCATTCTGAAGTCTACCTACCTATTGGGAATTTGGAAATGCATATTCCACAATCCTCTGCTTTCATGTTGAGAACACTAAATGTTAAGGTGTGAAAGAAATCTAGGGTGAGGTTGTTAGGGAGTTTTCCCCCAAGAACAGCACATAACTGCCATCGGAAGCTTGAATCCTCACTTAACATTGTAAATGAGTGCATGTGTTTGTATATTTAGTTCATTTGATTAAGAACCTTTGTTGTTAAGGTTTATTTAAAAGCACTGGGTCTGATATAAACATGTAAAACAGGTATTTTTCTATGCTTTTGGGGAAGTGATAGGGTTGAGGGTGATGCAGAACCAGACTCTGTAGGTTTGAATGAGTTTGCTAGAATATACAAACAAGATGAATCACACAGGAAGAGACTTTTTCTTCACTCCCAGAACTTCCTAGCTGCTGCTTTTTTGCTTCTAGCTTTTGTCAGAAGAAAGTTGAGCACCCATTTCTACATGAGCCCTTCAGAGAATTGGAGGTCATAGTTTGGATGTCTAAGAAGAGAGTTGGGATTAAACTGAATATTTCAATTAAATACTTTCTTTGTAATTAACCTCATATATATTTGGCATCAAATTAACATGACTTATCTTTTAAACTCTAAGGATTTTCTTCGAAGCCTGCCAGGAACTATATTTTCAGCCAAGCTGTATGACCAGTGGCTTGATGTATTTGAGGAAGAGGACAAGAATAAAGTACCTGCAATTCAGAGGTGTTGATACAATAATTACTGTACTTTAACTCTGCTTCACAACCACAGTCTACACAGCATGCAAAAACAATACTAGTTCTGCTTTAGAGTTCTATCTGCTAAACAAAAGAACAATGTGAAAGGGTCTCACTGGTCACACAGGTGAAAGCCAGAATGAAAAAAGATATAGGCTTTGCCTCTGTCATTTAGTTCTTAATTCTCTCCTAATGTTATTGATATGGAGTCCTTCACCATTGTACACATTCTGAATTTGTGACATTGATATGGGAGGAATACCGCTGGTCCAAGAGATAAGACCAATTTATCAGTGGTCTGACCTAAACATAATCCAAGAGCTAGCCGAGCAGAGAGGTCTATATACGGTGTACAATGCAACATTTTTGTATGTGTTTGTATCTAGACTGAGTCAGTTAAATTATAGCACTGGGCTCTTGTCATGAGGCAGCATTCTTGTGCTACTATCTTTAAAATGAACGTAGTGCTTTCAATTTGCTCGCTGTTTAATTTCAACAGTAAACTTTCAGTGCCACACATATGGCATGCAACACTGTTTTTTAAAATTTACTTATGCTTACTTATGTATTCAGAAAGTTTGCTGCAGTTAAAGCACATTGCTATGGTTTCACCAAAACTGCAGGCAGTGATTTTTAGATATGTTGGTTCATTTTCTGTATTTTCATTGTGTTGTGTTAAAGGCATTCAAAGTGCCCTATTTCCTTTGTATATATATGCAAGTTGCTGAAGAAAATGCATTTTCTGTGTTTAGGCTCTTAGCCCAGCTGCCAAAAGCCAATTTTATTATCCTGAAGTGCCTGTTTGTGTCCCTAAACAAAATTGTTCAACAGTCTACATTCAAAATTATCGCTACCTCAGACTTATCATTGTGTCTTGCCCCAAGAATTCTTCCCCTGTGGCATTCAACGTCCAGAAGCTCAGAGGTAGCAGATGAATTAAGGAAGAAGGTAATTAGATGTCTCATTTTTATGCCCTCGAGGAGCAGGGTCCCCTTGGAACCTGAAATTCAGGATATGAATTCTGAAAGACCATTTTTTAAAATGAACATTTTAGTGACACTGCTCCAAGTTCATTTATCCTATCCTGGGAGCTACGGGAGGGCGGCATGTTAGGTAGGAAAAAGGTAGCAGTGAGTCACTTCTCCTTTCCCTTTCAGGAGACAGAACAGTGATTTGACTTACCCATGGAGAGAGTAGGAACTCATGCACTATGATAGAAAGGAACCTGGAGTTGGTTGGACAAATCAAGGTGCAACAATTCTAATTCTCATTGTTGAAGGTTGTGTACATTTGAGCCAGGTTTCTACACCAGGGTTTTCTCAGCTGAGCAATGGCAGTGGGGGTAGCATCCATCTCTCCTGGCTGTCAGTGGCGCTGCCTTGTTTGCTTGCACAAAATGAGCACACCTAGCTCCACACACCTTGACCTTACTCTGCCAGCTGTGGCTCATCCAGAGAAATGCTTGTCTATATCTTCTCTGCTACTGGCACTGGATGCAGAGCATCCTAAGAGAGCCACAACATTCCAAATGCAGACACAGTTCCTTCCCGAGCTCCCTCTCAATGTAAGGCTGAGGGGAGACAGAGCAAGGCTACAGGAAGCCTAGTCAAGCAGAAGTTCTGTTTGTAGCTGACTCCTTTCTTGTCAAAGGATTCACTGAGAATTTCTGCCTCCCAAGTTTAAGGTATATCATTGGGCCAGTGCATTTCACAAGTCTTTGTATACTGAATACTTTACAGATTTTACCATGCAACCATACATCTTCACCCCTAACTTCCTTTATGGATGACATTGAAATTATCTTTATGGTGAAGTCATTGATTTGAAAATGTTAGCAATTCAGCAAATCCCTAGTTACCCAATATTCTAGAGAGTATAATGGTTATTTCTGAGAGAAAACTAGTTTATATAATTTTATGTTAACTCTGAATTTTTCTCATAATTCTGAATTTCATGTTTCTTATAATGTTAAAATTCACATATGACATGATTTATGGCTATGTAAAATTAAAAAGAATACCTTATTTTCACCCTTTTGTGTCACAGGTTTCACTGACATACTTTCTAATACAAAACTGTCCTGAGATATTTAAAGATGCCACCAATTCAGTCTTGTGGAAGAGATCCATGATTTTCTACAACAATACTGGGGACAATGCTGTGAATTGCAATAATGTCTCGGGGGACAGTGACAACATTGTGGGTGAGAGCTCTCTGGGATCTCCATGAGAACATGGCAGATCCTCCATCTGGGGTCACTGGCTTTGCTGAGAAACAGATAACAAGGCCACCAGGTGTGAGAGAAGATGCTTAGACAGTGTCAGTTCTAGAGCTCAGGGGCCAGTACCAAGAACAATGTTGTACTGCCCAGACTCTACTGCCTCTGCCTTTTCAAGGCTTCCACAGTTCAGGAGCAGTTTCATAATGTCTTGAGACCAAAGAAAAGTTGAGAAGAGGTCCCTAATGTACAGAATTGCTTGTTCAAATCATAACTGCTTGAGAGACATCATGCTATGATCCATTTTGTGGATTCATTTTCTAACCTAATTTAAATGGGGCCTTTTCATATGAGAGTACCTCACAAGTTCTATGGAAACATGGAATTAAAATATCAGGCTTATGGCACAAAACATAGTCAAATCAATGTATAATTTTTCATAATATATATTTTTGACATCACGTGAAAATATTTTTGATCAACATGAAGTCCTACTTTAAAATTCTTTCATCCATAAACTTTTTGAAGTGCTCTCAGACATATCATTAATATGTCCAGGTTGAAACTCATTGAAGAGGCTCACAGTATTGCCTGCTTTATATCGGCTCCTTTGACACTCTGGGGTACCTGAAGCATCCCACGTTTCCAGTGCTCTTTGAAAGGGTGTGAAATGAAGCAGCATCACTGAGGAGCAGAGCACTTGCTCTGATGTCTTACAATTGTTCTGGAAGCTAGAACCCTGTGCCATCATTGAGTAGTGGCCCTGTCTTTGGCAGTTATTCTGTCACTCAGGCTCATACCAGTAAAATATGGAAGGAATATCGGAATTTTATGATTGCTTTAAGGGTTAAAGATGATTGCAAAGCAAATTAGTTTAAAAAAATCACAAAATATGACTAGTAGAAATCCCCATGAGCCTAGAAATTTGTACCATTCGATCCTAGGTAGATGTAGCTAAGAGACATCCAGCAATTTGATAAGGGTGAGTTTAGTAGGACTTGGGGGCATGTATCATGAGTCCCTTCCTATGTTTTCCAATCAGTGGTTTTATCATATTCATCCTATTGCTTAGAGGAAATATTTTGGAAAGCTCATTTGATCAGGAATTGACCTGACTCCATTATATGAGAATATTGATAACCAAGGCAATCTGTTTTTTTCTTCCACAGATACTAAGGAGGTGCAATCTCTTGATTGCCAACCCATGGATGTGACGCTGATTAAAACAAGTGAAGAGCTGAAGGGTGACTCTGAGGCCACCTTTGATGTGGGCCCACCTAGCCTTGTGTCAGAATTTTTACTAGGTTAGAATCTCCGTAATTACTTAACTACTTTTATTTTTCCTGAACTCTCCTTAACAATACACTAATAACTTCTTTTAAAAAAACTTTGCAAGATGATTCTTACTTTGGATGAAATCTTCCATTTCTGTAAAGAAAGAATTGAACCTCATGATAAAGGATTGGACATGAGGCACCTTAAGCTAAGACAACCTTTTTGCTTCATGGTTTTTGATTATTGGTTCTCAGCTGAACACTGTATGAACAATTTCCAAGTTACCAGCTCACCATATTGGATCTTTTTTTTTCCTTCTCTTTTATCTAAGAGGACATTTCCTGCAGAAATGTACTCAGAGATAAAAATAAAAAATATAAATTAGAATTGAAAACAGGAGTTTATTTGGCCAAAAATTTTAAATCCATACATCATTTTCTCATTAAATATATTTTAATAAACTTTGCTATGAAGCCTCAAAACATTCATGGAATATGTATTATGACTAATAGATAAATGGATTCAAAACTTATCATATCAATATCAGAAGTTGACATGAGTCTGTAATCTGAGAATATTTATACAAATTTTTAAACAACAAAAATTTAGATAACCTTTTGGTTTCTTTTCCACAGATAACCTGGTACCGCTCCTGGTGCCTACTCCTGTTTCAAGCATAGATACTGATTACACAGATCACGTAGAGGAAGACCTCAGATCCATAACTGGTATGGACCCATCCAGCTCTCTGTCTTCTATTTTGTAAATCACTGATGATTAGAATTTGCACTGTTATTATGACTCTTGTTATTCCTTGCTTCCTTTAATATTACACTAAGAACTTTTCCAAAAATATCTGCAAGATTTTTCTCACTGCTTCTCACAGCTTGTGTCCAGAAAGAACTGAATTTCCTGGTACAGAACTGGACACAAAACATTGTAATTTAAGACAACTTTGTAGCTTCATGTTTTTCGATGATTTGCTCTCAGCTGGACACTGGATGAGCATTTATGATGTTGCCAGCTCATCCCATCTGATCTCCCCTTCTCCTTTATGCAAGTGGACTTCACATATTTCGTTCAAAGATGGTATTTAAAGTTAAATATAAAGTTAAATTTAAAGTTAAATTTAAAGATGGAATCTATATATTTATTTTGGTCAAAATAATTTTTAAATCCATGCATAGTTTTTTCATAATGTATATTTTCATAAACTTTTTTCATGAAGCTTAAAAACTTAAGAAAATACTTATCATGAGGAAGCAGTGCATGTATTTAATAATTTTTTGTTCCAATACCAGAAGTTGAGTTTGGTATCTGAGCGTATTCATACTAAGACAACGGTTTTTTTTGTTTTTTTTTTAATTAACAGAGGAATTGCAGACACCTCTGGAGTCCTACTCAGGCATAGAGACTGATGAGGAGACACAAGTTGGGGAAGTTGACAAGGCTCCACCTGGTACGAGTCTACCCAGCTCTCTGCTGTCCATTTTCTGAGTTATGAAGATAAGAATCCTATTACTACTTCTTTTGTTTTCGCTATACTTTCATTAACATTACCTCAATAACTACTTTCTCAAAAATGTTAAGGCCCACCTTGCTCTCTGTCCTCTATTTTCTGATCTCCATAGATTTGAATCTCCATCACTACCTTGGATTTTGCTTTTGCTTCATTTCCTTTATCAGTGTGTTAAGGACTATTTCCTAAAAGTGTCTGCAGGCTTTCTCTGAGTTTAAATTAAGGCCACACATTCCATCCGATAATAATCAAATTTCTGGTAAAAGGATATCCATGAGGTACTTTCTACTAAGAGAAGGCACTTTTGATCGTGTTTTTAGATCATTTATCTTTAGCTCATCACTCACTTTTCAGGCATTAATTGTGAAACTAGGCCCTTCTGAGAAGTCAACGGTGTTTTTTTTTTTTTTTAAAGATTTATTTATTTGAAAGTCAGAGTTACACAGAGAGAAGGAGAGGCAGAGAGAGAAAGGTCTTCCATCCATTGGTTCACTCCCCAAATGGCTGTAATGGCCAGAGCTGTGCCGATCCAAAGCCAAGATCCAGGATCCAGCATCCAGGATCCAGGAGCTTCCTCCGGGTCTCCCACGTGGGTGCAGGGGCCCAAGGACTTGGGCCATCCTCCACTGCTTTCCCAGGCCATAGCAGAGAGCTGGATTGGAAGTGGAGCAGCTGGGACTCGAACCAGCACCCATATGGGATGCTGGCACTGCAGGTGGTGACCCTGCTACGCCCCAGCACTGGCCCCAAGTCAATGGTGTTTTCTAAAGTCTCTGCTGCTACTAGTCAGTTCTGTTCCATCAGGGCAAGTGCAAATTTTTGTAGATGGTATGTTGTTGCAGGCTTCATCATTAACATCCTGTTGTCACTCCTTAAAATTTGCAAACTGCTGATTTTTTTTCAGGACATTGTCCTCATCACTTTTTTATAAAGCATCAGTGAGTCCACCAGCATTCAACCCATGCTTCCATATAAACCTTGTCTTAGTTATTACATCAATATTTGCTGAATAAAGATGCCATAACCTTGCAGGTGTCTGAAACTATCCTGTTGAGACATGTTGTAACAAGTTGGTATGAATACATTATTGTGCAAAGTTAATGAAATGTGCTTCATATGACATCTATGCATGCATTTAAAAGTGTTTGAATAAAAATAAAGTTTAAATTGCATTTCCACAAACATTTAGAACTTCCTCAGACATATTTGATAAAATACCTATTCCATCTTTCCATTTCTACCATATTTAGAAATATTCATATAACTAGTTGTTTACCATAATGTATATGCTTCTTATGGATGCAATAAGAATGATTCCATAACACACATCACTTGTATAACCATTCATTTGCTTGATGATGCATGTTAGTACTTTAGTGAAGATTCAGCTGAACGGTTCTTTTGTATGAATCTCGGTTATCCATGGGCTTACAATCAATCTGAAGCTTGACCATGGGACAATTGTGTGTCCTTAAGTGTAGGTACATCAGGTTGCATTAAACTGGACAAGCTATGTACTAATGTAAAATGCGAACAAAACTTTGCACATGTTACATACAGAAATAGGCCCTTGGATTTAATAATGCATTGACTTTCTTCTTCTTTCTCTTTTTTGAAAAATGGCACAGAAATGAATTCTAGGTAGATCTGACATTTTTCTTGCCTGCATCTTTCCTAGAGACTACTAAACTGGATGCAGTATTAGGATTGAGTCAAATGATATCCAGGCTGCTTTGGGTCAAATGAGTAAGAACTGAAATTACTTGGATCAGGGCTTATATGAACCAAAACTTCTGCTAAGTAGTCTATAATTCAGACTGGTACCATGAAGTGGCAACAGAACCAGGAGCCTCTTGATCTTTCTTACCACCAGGAGAGTTGCCCTCATGTGTATGCAAAGGTGATACACTCAATACCCTTGAAGTGGCCAGTAGATCTGTATTTAAGTCTGATTATGGAACACAGCCATCTATCAGGCTACACCTTGGCTCCTCAGTTGAATTTTACAGTGTTTGCTGTAAGGGGATTACTTGAGAAAATGTTAAGATACCTTATTGAGAAGGCATGCACACTTCAGCAATAAATCCTTTGAACTCAGCTGTTTGTTACTGATCACCTTTTCTTTGAAAAGCGACTCTGGATCAGCATTCATTTTGCAGGGACTGCTGATAAGTTAGAAATCATTTTGGTTCACTTGGTCAGATGTCACAAGGCACAAGACCATAGAGGATCATTGCACACAACCAAGGACACCGACTGCAAATGTGGGTTATCCGTTAAGCTGCCTGAAGTTGCCATCCCTACAGATGAGTGGGCCAGAGAATGACTAAGGAGTAGGCTCAGGCACTTGTGTGCGGAAGGGTGGATTCCTATGATGGGAGATAGTTGGCAATTGCTAGGCATTCCAAATGCCAGGGAAGATAAATGAATTGGGGGAGAATTACTATGAGATAAGATGAGCATCAATGTCCAATTGGTTTGAACACCAAATGCCTTCTACTTTTTCAGGTGAGATCTTACCCATGAATTTACTATAAACTTAGCATCAGGAAACTTGCACCTTTATATATTAAAAACCTCATGGTACAATGCAACAAGCTGTGGCTAGCACCATCTAACAAGTATTCTCACTGCAAAAGTTGAACATGGGGCTGTTCTAGATTTCCTTACCAGTTTCTAGGAGGTGGGGAAGGAGAGTACATGGGTTCTGGGAGCCAATTTCAGAATGTAGACCTTCCTACACAACAAAGGATACAATTTCTCCCTTTCTAATTACTCAACATATGTGCCATAACCTGGAAATACTGTAAATGAGTATCTATGACTTCAACTCTGCAACTAATCATCTCACTTCTTCTTCAGATCCCCACCAGGAGCGTACTCAAAGTCAACATTCTTTAAGAAAGTGGCTGAATCAGTGGGGCTTTTATGGAAGCAGGAACAGCTCGCTTGAAGAACCTACCCTGCCCACACCTGAGCCACCTCAGCTATTTGGGTCTCTGATCCAAGATGTTTGCAAGAATGACAACTTGCCCAGACCTCTCTTGGTAGGTCTCATTTTGGTTTTCAATAACCCATCTTTGTTGAGAGAACTTGGAGGGGTCAAGTCTCCTCATTGAAATCTGTCCCCCAGTGGAGAAAATATGAGATAGCCACCATATTTGGCTGATAAGCTTTGTTCATGCTACTGCAATACAGACAATCTCATTTAGGTATTGCAGAGTGAAAAAAGCAAGTCTATGTTTCGGCAAAAAGACCCCATACTCTTGGACAGAAAAATTAAAATGGGCTCTGTGTTTGAGTCTCTGTGAGTCCACCTCCCCTTCACATTCTTCTTGGATTCTTAAGAACCGGAATTATCTGCTAATCAGAAGTTTCCTGTCATTTCCTCTTCCAGGCAATTTAATCTTACCACTCAAAATGTCTCACATGTATTACATTTGTCTCTTCAGGGCTTCAACATAAAAATTCATCCCCTGGCATGTGTGAATCCTTCGTTCTAAAGGAATTTGTAAATTGAAAGCTACAGGTTGAGGCCTATAAAAGTTGGGGTACTATGTTGTGAGTGGTACATTTATTGAGGGTTCAGCCAAGCTCATCTCTTAATGTAAGGATTTGTAGGCTAGATGTGAAGAAATTCATCATGTCAGCTACATGGCAGATGCTGCACTAGACTTTGCACCTTCCATAGGTGTATGTAGAGGAAATTTGTATTGACATCCCCATGTCACCAAAGGAATAAAAGTCTTAATGAAGTTCTTTATTGTGACCAAGCTCACTGAGCAAACAAATGGCATACTTGATTGAAAATGCTGCAGAATAACTGAATCTGAAACTTACTGTTCTTCTGCATTAGACATGTAAATAGGGCAGTAGGAAATTAAAAAAAAACTTGGTAAAAGGGAATGCAATCAGAAGGTTTCAGAGAAGATGGTTTTCAGCTTCGTTTTAAAGGAGAAGACAACTCTAAGAGGCAGAAATGGAGTATACAGTCACTCTAAAGGGAGTATAACATGGAAACGGATATAGAAACAAAATGTCCACCCTTGGGGACAATCATTGGGAAAGTTGGATTTAGAGGTGTAAATTCACGGGAAAGGATAACACTGTTAAATCAAGCATTAACATGTTTTGTTGTTTGAACATAGAATGACTGGTGGATACAAAATGTATTCAGAGACACCAAAATGAAATCTTCATAGTTATTTTCATTCCATTCTCTGTAGAGCTGTAACCTTTCATACTTTTGGTACCTTTCATACCAGAGACATACATGTGTTCTGGGTTTGTGGAAATGGGATGTCATGTAATTTTATACCCTTTATTTCACACACAGGATATGCTTTTCATGATTGAGCACAAAAGTCTGTGCACACCGGGCATGTTTAGAAAACAGGGCAATCGGAAATCATGTAGAGCACTGCAGAGGAAATTGAATTTGGGACGCCAGGTGAATTGGAAGAGGCAGTCTGTTTTGGTGGTTGCAACCACCTTCATGGTAGGAAAAGTTTTAGCATCACCTATTTATAATATGGGTGCCGTATGGTGGGTTTCACTCATTATGGTTGCCTAAGAACAATAATAGGCCTAAAGATTTAAGATTCTGAAACCAATGTCACAAAGTACATGTTGACGGCAACTACTTCATTCGTTGTTGAAAGCCCCATGGAGTGCATATGCTTTCTTTGATCATCACAGATGACCCTGTCCTTGTTCATTCTCAACAATCCATATAGAACTAATATTATTATAATGCTGTTCCCAAAATCATGTCAAAACTTACCCTTCCCAACACAGAATGAGGATCCAAACAAACCTTCTGGATTTGATGATTTTCACACCATATTATCAAGCTCTCTTTTTAAAAAAATTCTCTTAAGCTTCGAAAGCTGTTACAGTATTTGCCTTACACTGAATCAACAAAGGCTAAAAAAAAAGGGGGCCATCAAAACCTCCATTTATTTAATGATAATTTTTTCCCCCTGTCCCCTACGCCTGCACTTTAAAAGTGGTATAGGAACATTTTCACCACTTTTGCCTTCTTTCAGTTTCATGAACTCTGGTATGCTTGGTTAGTAACTATTTAATTTAACACACTATCCATGGTACTAAAAGTAGAGTAACTTTCAACACAAGTCTTGCTTTGAAAATGACTCTGAATTCAGGTGTAGTACCCAAGTTAGTTCAGAATTCTGAATATTTAGTTAATCTCTATGGAAAATAAATGCATTTTGAAAAGATGAGGCTAAATCACAAGTGCATGCTGTATTTCTATAAGAGAAAATAAAAGAGCAGAGAAAAAAATGAATCAATCCATCCTGCTGCTTTTTAAGAGCTATGTACAAAATATGTCACTGTAGTGATGATTAGAAATAAATTTTCCAAATTACATTAATATAAGACAGTTTTCCATCTTTCGTAGTCAAATAGGCCATAGGATAAATAGCAACAGTGTCATAATGCCTTGTAGCTATGCTAATGGTACAAAACAACAAGTTGAGTTTTATCCTCTGTAAGGTACATACATGAACTGGATTTAATTTTCCTGCAAGACTTAGAGTTATCCTCTGAAGACATTGTAATCTGGACCTTCTATGATTACCAAGTATGATAACTAGAGAATTGTTTTAGACAAGAAATAGATATGTAACCAGGGCCACGTTGATTTTGTCATTCATGTGTCTAGAAGCAGAGACCCAATAGCAAATATCTTTGGCATAATCTTCTTGGGTTGTGTTGTGACTTTAATAACTAGTTCCCAGGGCCAGCACTCTGACATACCCAGTTAAGCCACCTCCTGCGGTGCCACAATCCCATGTAGGCACTGGTTTGAGTCCTAGCTGCTCTATTTTCCATCCATCTGCCTGCTACTATTGTTCCTCGGAAAGCAGCAGAGGTGGCCCAAATACTTGAGCCTCTAAAAAACCCACGTGGGACACCCAGAGCAAACTTCTGGCTTCTGGTTTCAGATTGGCCCAACTCCCACCATTGCTGTCATTTGGAGAGTGAACTACAGATGGAAGACCTTTCTCTGTCTTTCTCTCTCTCTCTGTAATTCTACCTTTCAAATAAATAATAAATAAATAAATTTTTTAAAAAATCCAGCTTTTCATCTGGTTTAAGATATCAGAAAGAAGGCACATGATGCACGTGTGTGTTCCTGTGGTTTGCATCACCAAAAGTGCCTTGAGTTTGGCAAGCTCCCAGAGCCAGCCACAGCTGGAGGATTTCCTCTCTCCACAGGCTGATCCAACTCCACAAAAATACCTGCTTAATACATATTATTGATATGGGTGCTATTGCAGACCAATGACATAGTGAAGTTTTACTGGAATGGGACTGTGTCTTCTGACTTCATTGCTTCATCTCAAGTACTACTGACTGTGTCTGGGACAAATAATAGCTCAATGAATATTAAAATGTATGAACCTTCATTGGATTATAATGATGATAGTTGCCTGGATGCATTTCTTAAACCAACCACTCATGCTTAGATAAAGAAACTGAAATTTCATAAAGTTTCATGGGCTCAATTTCACGATATTAACATTGTGCATCAGTGGCATAAATGAGCAAACTTTCCTTGGATCCACTAGGAAGCTTATCTATAGTCTGGGTAACCAAAGACCTGGATTAGTGATATATCTAAATTATGCTTAAAATCCTTCTTGTGGGGATTGTACATGTTTCAACCAATGGATGTAAAGAATAACTTGTAGGTAAAAACTAGGCATATGGTAATATATGCAAGGCCTTTCTGCTTATAACTATAAAGAGGGGCCGATGCTGTGGATAGTAGGTTAAACCTCTGCCTGCAGCACAGGCATCTCTTATGGGTGCCAGTTCAAGTTCCGCTTACTCCACTTCTATTCCAGCTCCAAGCTAAAGGCCTGGGAAGGCAGTGGAAGATGGCCCAAGTGCTTGGGCCCTGCACCCACAAGGGAGACCAGGAGGAAGGTCCTGGCTCCTGGCTTTGGATCGGCCCAGCTCTGGCCATGGTGGCCATCTTGGGAGTGAACCAGCAGATGGAAGACCTTTTTCTCTGTCTCTTCCTCTCTGTGTATAATTCTACCTCTCAAATAAATAAATTTTTAAAATAAAAAGACCTATAGAGAGATTAATTTCCATAAAGACGTGAAGAATGAGACTGTGATGTGAGTTTTCTCCCTTTGAGAACACACAACTCAAGTCAGAAACTTTCATCTTCACTTTCCAAGTGTATATGAGTATATGCATGGGTGTAGATTGTGGGGAGCAACTCGGACTAGACTGTTACTGGAATTAAGACTTATTCTATGCATCTGCTCTCCCACAATATGGCGCTGAGAAGGGAGTAACAGCTTCTACGCAGCTGCCTCCAGTTCGACCAGTAACCTGCAGGAGCTGATCCTGCTCCTGATTGGAGGAGAGCAGCGTACTCGGCGTGTGGGTAGCAGAGTTGGGATTGGTGGAAGAGGACTATAAAGGAGGAGAGAGACAACATGCACCAGGAACATCTATCTGAAGGAACACCTGTGCAGCCCCCGAGAGAGCCGGCCAGCGGTGTGCCGCTCCCCTGCGGAAGTGGGGAAAGTGGCAGGGGGAACCGCCCATCCACGGAGGTGGAAGGGACGGTAGCCAACCCGGGAAGAACCAGCAGCAAACCCGGGGAGGGCCGAGCAGACAAAAGAACAGCGCAGGGTCCTGTGTTGTTCCTCCGTGAAGAGGGGGAGTGACATAATGGTGCCGTGACTCGGATAGGAAAGCCCTAGGCAGGGTTTAGTGTCGTTCCTCCACGAAGACGGGGAGCGACAGTAGATATTTATGCCATCTGATTCCAAACCTTTACTGCTGGAAATTAAAACTAGTGGGCATGAAATAAACAGGCTAAATGTGTATGTTTATTTCTTATCAAGAAAATAGTAGAAGTAATATTGCTCAACAACAGATCTTACTTGTTTGTAAGATGTTCCTAAGGAAGGAAGTGTCAGATGATGGCAGTAGACTTTGTCTCCATTCCCACCACTGTCTAGACACCCTGCATGTATTCTCTGCTTTTGGATACAGAAAATCCACATGCATGCTTCTGTAGAGCAAGTTAAGTGGAGGGTTGGAGATAGTCTTGGAGCTGTCAGTTTGGTGTCTGTGAAGAACATTGGAACTAAACTCAAAGCATCAAAAGTTTTCTTTCCAGGTTAGCCAATGGCTGTTCCCATGAGAATAATATGATTTATTTCTTTTTTTTACCTATATAAGAATTTTCTTTCAAGCATTCCCGGCAGTCTTCTTACGGACCGTCTTTATGATAGCTGGCTTCATGTTTTGGATGAAGGAAACAAGAAAACTCAAATAGCAGCATTTCAAAGGTGATAATGCAGTAATTACTCTGGGGCTTTCTAAAAAAACCTCCATATTTTCTTAAAAAATCAGCTTCTATTTTGCCATTTTATTGGAAATCATTGGCTCGAGACAGAAGCTAGAGTAATAATCAAGTAATAGTCTTTGTGTAACATTATCAAAAAGTCAGCTAGCTAGAAAATTCTAAAAGTGGTTCAGGAATTTAATTGAATGACACATTTGTGTGTGCATTAATACCTGGCATGAGTCTTTTAGACAATTGATAATTCTTGTACTCTTAAACACCTTGTGCTACTACTTTAAATAGCAAAGGAGCTATTTTTATTTAATTTCTGTTTAAATTTATCAAGAAGCTTTCAGTTGGCTACATTCTAGAGTGCAATGACTGTTTTAAATATGCTTCTATTAAATTCAGTTCTAATGGTATTTGCTGCACTTAGCATATAATGTAGTAGATTCAGAGAAACATTGCAGAAAATATTTTGAAGACATTTTGCTACATTCCCCAGTATTTTAACTTGGTTGTGCCAATGGCATTAAAGGCATTTTGCTCCATTTCATCAGTAAGTACAATGTTTTAAATTAAAGTTCTTGCTTTAAGAACGCATTTTTCTGTGTTTAGGCTTTTCACACTACTTCCAACACCCAACGCTACTATCTTACAGTCCATGTTTGGCTCCTTATTCAAAATAGCCATGAATTCAACATCTTTTAATGAAACAACTTCTGACCTGTCCATGCATGTAGCTCTAAGCCTGCTTTGGCCACGTATTTCCGACATTTCAGAACGAAAAACAGAATGGCGAAGAAAGGTAATTGCATGTCTAGTTTTTACCCGTAGGGAGCACTGTCTCTACTTTGTGTCTAAAATTCAGTATATTAATTTTGATGGATCATTTTGAAGTGCACACTTCAGGTACTCCTCTGGAATATATTCATCCTTCTTGCATTCACTAATGGATTGGGAGAGCACTGAGTCACTTTTTTCCATCCAAGAATCAGGACAACAGATTCAAGATAAGCTTTAGAAAGAAAAAATTCATGTGGTATAATAGAAATGAACCTGGGCTTTGATGTTGTAGGAAACAAGGTTCTATGTCACCACTGAGTGTGACATTGAACACTGTTTCCCAGCTGAGGTTTTTTTATTTATGTACTGGTTATAATTACAGTGACACAAGAACTGGGTGACACTGCCTGAATGTTCTGGGCAGTATGGGTGCACCCATTGACCTTGCTCTGCTAATTGTGACTCATGCAGAGATATGAGTCTGATTTCTGCTCTGCTGGAAGAACATAAAAATGAGCCTACACTAAGCATCGAAGAAACTGAAAAATAGATCTCTGTAAAAATTAAGCATAGGAATGTGAGAGGGAGGTGGAGGATGGGAAGAAGCATGGATGGGAGGCAGGCAGGGGAGGAAGTGTCACTATGTTCCAAAATCTGTGTATATGAAATAGATGAAACTTCCCTAACTTAAATAAAATTTAAAAAGAATGAGCCTAAGATTCCAGAACATCACAGTGGAGTGACAACATGACAAAGTCAGGCTCATCCAGAAAGTGAGGCAGAAGGCTGAGGTGAGGTGGGGCAGTGCACAAGGAGAGACTGCAGTCAGACAAGCAGACATTTTTTCTCTACCTGCCTCCTTTCTTGCCAATAGAAGCTGCTGAGAATCTCTGCTTCCCAAGTACAGACTACTTTGAAAATGAGATTCCCAAGTTTGTGTCTATTGGGTGCTATATGAATATTAAAATGTGACTATACTTTTTCACCTCAAACCTCCTAATTGAAAGTGTCATATCTCTAAAAATGTAGTCATTGATGTAAGCTGCTCACAAAAAAGGTGCAAACTGAAAGTGTTAATCCGTGGATTCAAAGAATTTAGATATCTGTTGCACAAATACTCTGAAACCTGATAATGTTTCATAGAGAAAAATGGGTTCATATGTTTTAATATCGATGCTGAATTTTTGGAGTTTCACATTTTTGTTAGATCCACAATTCATATATGAAATATGGTTTATAGTGATGCAAAATATAAAAATACATTTTATTTTGGTCTTTGTGTTACAGGTTGCCCTTGTTCAATTTCTAATTGAAAATTACGTGAGGATTTTTAGGAGTGACATCTTCACCTGCGTTGGAGAAATCACAATAGATCCAAAAAGCTACCCTGCAACTGCAGGTACCCTGGATCATTTAATTGCCTTTGGTTAGACCACTATGTACCTACCTAGACTCTGTTGAGTAGTATATTACGTAGCCCAGTCAAAGAGGTGCAAGTAGTATTGTTCATGTACAAACTGAGCCAACTGAAACTCTAAAAATTTTGATTATCTGTTCCTCTAAGTGGCATAATGAGGAGCCCCTCCTGATTTCTGACCACCAGGAGTGCTGCCCTCATGTGTGTGCAATGGTGATGCACACAATGCCCATCAAGTGCCCAGTGTATGTGTCTTTAAGTCAGATTTTGGAAACACAGTCATCTATCAGGCTACACATGACTTTTACAGTGTTTTAAATTAAGAATGCATTGAGTTGACTCAGTTTATGATTTGGTATAAGGAGGTTAACTGAGAAAACATTTAGATACCTTATTGAGAAGGTATGCACCTGAGCAGTAAATCCTTGGAATTCAGCTGTTTGTTACTGATCACCATTTCTTTGAGAAGCAAACCTTGATCAGCATTCATGCAGGGGCTGCTGATCAGTAAGAAAGCATTTTGGTTCACTTGGCCAGATGTCACAAGGAACAAGGACATTGAGGATTATTCCACACAACCAATGACACCAACTGGTGAAAGAGGAATAAGGTCACCCACTGACTTGCCTGAAGTTCTCAGCCCTCAGGAGCAAGGGGCCAGAGCATGGCTGAGGAGTAGGCTCAGAAAACTTGTGCAAAGAAAGAGATTCCTGTGATTGGAGATAGTTGGCAGTGGTTAGGCATTCCAAATGCCAAATAAGAAATCCCAGGGGCTGGTGCCATGGCTCACTTGGTTAATCCTCCTCCTGCGGCACCAGCATCCCATATGGGCACTGGGTTCTAGTCCTGGTTGCTCCTCTAGTCCCGGTTGCTCCTCTTCCAGTCCAGCTCTCTGATGTGGCCCGGGAGGGCAGTGGAGGATGGCCCAAGCACCTACACTTGTGTGGGAGACCAGGAAGAAGCATCTGGCTCCTGGCTTTGGATTGGCGCAGCGCTGGCTGTAGCGACCATTTGAGGAGTGAACCAACGGAAGGAAGACCTTTCTCTCTCTCTCTCTCTGACTGTCTATAACTTTACCAGTCAAATAAAAAAAAAAATCCCAAAGTGAGAGGAGCCTGACTATGAACAGAGATGATTATCAGCTTCTGATTTATTTGGAATACCAAATGCCTTATAGCTTGTCAAATGAGACTTGATAATGAACATGCAGTTTAAACTTAGCATCAGGAAACTTGCACCTCTACAGGCTAAAAACCTCACTGTATAATGCAACAAGCTGTGGCTAGCCTTGTCTGGCAAATATTCCCACTAAAGAATTGAACATGAGACTGTTCAAACTCTAGATTTCATTAGCAGTTCTATGATATGGGGAAGTAGAACATATTCTCACCACTTGGGTGCTGGGTGCCATTTCAGGGTTTAGACATTTCTATACAACAAGAGATGCAGTTTTTTTCTAGCCACTTCAATACGTGTGCTATAGCCTGGGAACACTGTAAATGAGCATCTCTGACTTCAGCTTTGCATCTAAACCTCTCATTTCTCCCTCAGATTGTCACATGAAGAGAACTCAAACGATACATTCAATAAGAAAGTGGCTGAATCAGTGGGGCCTTTGTAGAAACAAGGATTTACAGCCCAAAGAGCCTATCCCGAGCTCACCTCGGCCAGTTCAGCTATTTGAGTCTCTCATTCAAGATGTTTGTAAAGATGACAAACTGCCCAGATCTCTACTGGTAGGTCTCATTTTCGTTTTCAATAACCCACCTTTGGAAGGGTCAAGTCTCCTCATCTGTCTGTCACCCAAGTGGAGGAATCATTAGATAGCCACCAGCATTGGCTGAGAAGCTTTATTCATGCTACTTCAATGAAGGAAAATCTTATGGAGGCATTTCAAGTGATATGGAAAATTCAACAGGAAAGAAGATACTGTTGTCTATGTCACTGGCTTCAGCAAAGCACCCCATACACATGCACAGGAAATTCCCAATGGGCTCTGTGTGTCTGAGTCTCTGTGAGTCCACCTCACCTTCACATTCTCCGCTTGTCTCCTTCAGAACCTGAACTATCCACTGATCTCAAGTTTCTTATCATTTTCTCTTCTATACAATTCAATCTTACCACTCAACATACCTCACATGTATTCCATTTATCTCTCCAAGGCTTCAACATAAAAATTCATCCACTGGCATGTTTTACTCTTTCCACTCTAACAGAACTTTTGAAATGAAAGCTGCAGATTGGGGACTATTTGACTGAAAATTGGTGAACTATAATGTCAGTGGTAAATTTATTGAGGGTCCAGTATCTCACCAAGTTCACCTTTTAAGTAAGGGAATCTTAGACTAGAAGTGAAGAAACTCATAATTTCAGGTACACGGTAGATATGGCACTGGACTTTGCATCTTTCATGGTGAATACTGGCAAATCTGTGAGTATCATCACCCCCAGTAAAGGAAAGTCTTAGTAAAGTTCTTTTTTGTACCCAAGGTCACTGAGGTAGGCACTTGCTGGTGGTGTACTTGGCTGAAGATGCCCTAGAGAGAAAAAAAGACTGGGAAGGGAACACGAGGCCCAAATAGTGGGACTCCTGCCACCCATGTGGGAGACTGGGATGGAGTTCCTGGTTTCTGGCTTCAGTCTGACCCAGCCCTGGAGTTGTTTTGGCCATTTGGTGAGTGAATCAGCAAATGGTAGATCTTTCTCTGTTTCTCCATCACTGTTGTCACTCTGCCTTTCAAATACATACCTAAATAATTAAACAAACAAAACAACAACAACAAAAAGAAAATGCCCTAAGATACTTGACTCTGAGAATTATTTTTCTGTATTTGTTATGAAGATAGAGCAATAGGAAATAAAAGACTAGTGACACAGGAATGCAATCCTAAGGTTTCTGAGAGGAGACAGGTTTTAAAGCGACGTGGCAGACCAGGAGATAGAAATGGGGTATATAGTCACTCGGAGGGGAATAAAGGAATGGAAAGTAAATTGAGCAATATGATGTCCACAGTTATGGACAATTATTGTGGCAATTATTGGTTTTTGGGGAGAATGAGTACATAACGTTTGCTTATAAAAGAGTAATTCCACAGAGGCCTAGAAGCAGAGAAATTGAATTTAAAAGTAAAAATTCACTGCAAAGGATGGCATTGTTAAATCAAGCACTTAAGATGTTTTGTTGTATGAACATGGAATGACTCTGGGTACAAAGTGCATTCAGAGACACCAAAATGAGATCTCTAAATTTGATCTCTATTCTTGTTCTCCAGACTGGTAACCTTGTATGAAATAGCTTTCTGTCACAACAGGGGCATGCTTGTGCTTGGGACTTGTGGATATGAAATATCATATGATTTTATGCCTTTTATTTTATCCAAAGGATATGATTCTTTTAATTGAACAGAAAGGTCCACTTACAAAGGACATTTTCAAAAAACGTGGCAATGAGAAATCATGTAGAACCCTAAGGTACAAACTAAACTATGAACGCCAGGTGAACTGGGAGAGTGAGTCTGCTATTGATGTTGCGACTACATTAAAGGTAGGAAAAGTGCTAGCATCATCCATGTATGGTATGGAAGCTGTGGGATGGCTTTCCTTAATGATGATGATCCAAGAATAATAATAGACCTGTGGCATTAAGATTCTGGAAAACATACTATAAAGTTCTTATTAAAAGCAGCTACTCTCTCAGTTTAAAATCCCATGGTTTGCACATGCTTTCTTGATAATCATAGATGACCGTGTCTTTCCTCAGCCTCAAGAACCAATACAAAAATACCATCATTTTTCTTGCTACTCAAAAAAACACTGTCAGACCTACCCTTCTATATACAAAATCCTACCCAAACAAGTATCCTGCATTGGGTAACTTTCACACTGTCTTTGTAACAAAGGATAATTTTTCACACAAGACTTCTGAGCTTTTGAAAGCTGTTAGAGAACTGTGCTGTAGCAGCACATACTCTGCTTCACAGTGAATCAACAAATACTCAAAAGAGACCATCAGAACCTCCAGTCCCTCATCACCCTTTCCCCTGTCTCTTATGTCTGCACTTTAAAAATGGTATACAAAGGATTTTTACTCTTTCTGCATTCCTTCACTTTTACTACTCTGATATGCTTTGTTCGTAGTTACTATGTTTGACACACTACCCTCAGTAGAGAGTGTAGAGTAACCTTGCTCCCAACATAAGCCTTTACCTCAAAATCTCACTATCAATGCAGGTGTAATAGCCATAATTATTTCAGAAGACTGGACATTCAGTTCAACTCCATGAAAAATAAATACAGTTTTTAAATGATACAACTAAATCACAAGGATTTCAATATATTTCTATATGTGAGAAATAGTAGAACAGAGAAGAAATTGAATTGATACATTTTACTACTTCTTAGAAGCTGTGTAAAAAAGTATGGTAGTGTGGTTGTGACTTCAAACAAGTTCTGAAAATTCCACTGCAATTATCCAGTTGATGTTTCCTTCCCCCTCCTCATATTTGGCCATAGGACACATAGCAAAAATATAGTAATGGCTCATTTTGACATGACTGTGCTTAGACAATAATATGAATAACATGTTGAGTTTTACCCCCCTCCCCGTAAGGTATACACATTAAATAAATTTAATTTCCAGCAAGACTCAGTGATTCTCCCTGAAGACTTTGCAATCTGATTCTTTTTTTTTTTTAAACTTTTATTTAATGCATATAAATTTCCAAAGTACGACTTATGGATTACAATGGCTTTCCCCCCATACCGTCCCTCCCACCCACAACCCTCCCCTTTCCCACTCCCTCTCCCCTTCCATTCACATCAAGATTCATTTTCGATTATCTTAATATACAGAAGATCAGCTTAGTATACATTAAGTATGGATTTCAACAGTTTGCTCCCACACAGAAACATAAAGTGAAAAATAATAGATGATTTTTTAAAATGATGATGAAATCAGAGCAGACCTATTGTCATGTTTAATCCCAGTGAGAGTCAAGTTGGGAATTGATAATTTCTTTTTCTTTTTTTTTTTTTTTTTTACAGAGGATCCGTTTAGTATGCATTAAGTAAGGATTTCAACAGTTTGCACCCCCATAGAAACACAAAGTGAAATATATTGTTTGAGTACTCGTTATAGCATTAAATCTCAATGTACAGCACATTAAGGATAGAGATCCTACATGAGGAGTAAGTGCACAGTGACTCCTGTTGTTGACTTTACCAATTGACACTCCTGTCTATGGCATCAGTAATCTCCCTATGCTCCAGTCATGAGTTTCCAAGGCTATGGAAGCCCTCTGAGTTCTCCGATTCTTATCTTGTTTAGACAAGCTCATAGTCAAAGTGGAGGTTCTCTCCTCCCTTCAGAGAAAGGTACCTCCTTCTTTGATGGCCTGTTCTTTCCACTGGGATCTCACTCGCAGAGATCTTTTGCCAGAGTGTCTTGGCTTTCCATGCCTGAAATACTCTCATGAGCTTTTCAGCCAGCTCCGAATGCCTTTAGGGCTGATTCTGAGGCCAGAGTGCTATTTAGGACATCTGCCATTCTATGAGTCTGCTGAGTATCTCACTTCCCATGTTGGATCACTCTCCCCTTTATTTACTCCATCAGTTAGCGTTAGCAGGTACTAGACTTGTCTATGTGCTCCCTTTGACTCCCAGTCCCTTCACCATGACCAACTGTGAACTGAAACTGATCACCTGGAACAGTGAGATGGCATTGGTACATGCCACCTCGATGGGATTGAATTGGAATCCCCTGGTATGCTTCCAACTCCACCACTTGGGGCAAGTCAGCCTGAGCATGTCCCAAATTATACATCTCTTCCCTCTCCCATTCCCACCACCATGTTCAACAGGGATCACATTTCAGTTAATTTTCAACACTTAAGAATAACTGTGCATCAATTACAGATCTAAACCAGTCATATTAAGTAGAACAGATAAAAAAAACTACTAAGAGGGATAATGTATTTAGTTGTTCATTAACAGTCAGGGCTATGCTGATCAAGCCACCATTTCCCATAGTGTCCACCTCACTCCAACAGGTTTCCCTCTTGGTGTTCAGTCAGTCGTCACCGATCAGGGAGAACATATGGTATTTGTCCCTTTGGGACTGGCTTATTTCACTCAGCATGATGTGTTCCAGATTCCTCCATTTTGTTGCAAATGACTGGATTTCGTTGTTTCTTACTGCGGTATAGTATTCTAAAGAGTACATATCCCATAATTTCTTTATCCAGTCTATCGTTGATGGGCATTTAGGTTGGTTCCAGGTCTTCGCTATTGTGAATTGAGCTGCAATAAACATTAGGGTGCAGACCTCTTTTTTGTTTGCCAATTTAAATTCCTTTGGGTAAATTCCAAGGAGTGGGATGGCTGGGTCGAACGGTAGGGTTATCTTCAGGTTTCTGAGGAATCTCCAGACTGACTTCCATAGTGGCTTGACCAGTTTGCATTCCCACCAACAGTGGGTTAGTGTCCCTTTTCCCCCACATCCTCGCCAGCATCTGTTGTTGGTAGATTTCTGTATGTGAGCCATTCTAACCGGGGTGAGGTGAAACCTCATTGTGGTTTTGATTTGCATTTCCCTGATTGCTAATGACCTTGAACATTTTTTCATGTGCCTGTTGGCCATTTGGATTTCCTCTTTTGAAAAATGTCTATTGAGGTCCTTGGCCCATCTCTTAAGTGGGTTGTTGGTTTTGTTTTTGTGGAGTTTCTTGATCTCTTTGTAGATTCTGGTTATTAACCCTTTGTCTGTTGCATAGTTTGCAAATATTTTTTCCCATTCTGTCGGTTGTCTTTTCACTCTCCTGACTGTTTCTTTTGCAGTAAAGAAACTTCTCAATTTGATGCAATCCCAATAGTTGATTTTGGCTTTGACTGTCTGTGCCTCCCGGGTCTTTTCCAGAAATTCTTTGCCTGTGCCAATATCTTGAAGGGTTTCTCCAATGTTCTCTAGTAACTTGATGGTGTCAGGTCGTAGATTTAGGTCTTTAATCCATGTGGAGTGGATTTTTGTGTAAGGTGTAAGGTAGGGGTCTTGCTTCATGATTCTGCACGTGGAAATCCAATTTTCCCAGCACCATTTATTGAATAGACTGTCCTTGCTCCAGGAATTAGTTTTAGATCCTTGATCAAATATAAGTTGGCTGTAGATGTTTGGGTTGATTTCTGGTGTTTCAATTCTGTTCCATTGGTCTATCCATCTGTTTCTGTACCAGTACCATGCTGTTTTAATTACAACTGCCCTGTAGTATGTCCTGAAATCTGGTATTGTGATGCCTCCGGCTTTGTTTTTGTTGTACAAGATTGCTTTAGCTATTCGAGGTCTCTTGTGCCTCCATATAAATTTCAGCACCATTTTTTCCAGATCTGAGAAGAAGGTCTTCGGTATCTTGATTGGTATTGCATTGAATCTGTAAATTGCTTTTGGGAGAATGGACATTTTGATGATATTGATTCTTCCAATCCATGAGCATGGAAGATTTTTCCATTTCTTGGTATCCTCTTCTATTTCTTTCTTTAAGGTTTTGTAATTTTCATCGTAGAGATCTTTAACGTCTTTGGTTAAGTTTATTCCAAGGTATTTGATTGTTTTTGTAGCTATTGTGAATGGGATTGATCTTAGAAGTTCTTCCTCAGCCATGGCATTGTCTGTGTATACAAAGGCTGTTGATTTTTGTGCATTGATTTTATCAATGCAATCTGATTCTTGATAACACCATATCATACAACTAGAGAACTGTTTTAGGGTAGGAATAGGAATATGAGCAGGGCCACACTGATTTTGCTACTGAGGTGTCTGGAAGCAGAGGCCTAACATGATTTCCTTTGCATCTTCTGCTTGGCTTGTGTTGTGGCCGTAAGAACTAGCTCCAGTAATGTGCAGTGCCTCAGGATCCAGGAAACCACAGAAAAGACAAATGACCCAAGTGTTTGTTAGTGTGGTTTGCATCAGCCCAAGGTGCCCTGAGTCTACCAAATTCCCAGAGCCAGCCAGTGTTCAAGTGGTTCTGCTTTCTGCATACTGGACCCACTCCGTGGAATACTCAGTGAACACTCCTTACTTCCATGGAAGTCTACTGGACACTGATCACACAGTAAAGATATTACTAGAATGAAGCTCTCTGTTTTCATTGCTCTATCTTCAGTAGTAATTGTTTCTGGAACAAACAATAGCTCAATAAATATTAAAAATGAGTGAGCTTCATTGGCTTATAATGAAGATAGCTTCTTGGGTGCATTTCCTAAACCAGTTGCCATCACAAAGATTCATGGTCTGTATAATGAGACCAGTGCAAACAACATTAGCAAGGGTCTATAACAAGTTCCCTACATGCCATCATAAAGAAAATGAAAACCTGAGAAAGCTTAGGGTTCAATTTAATGATATTAACATTATTCATCAACATTGTAAGTAAACTGATCTTCCATGACTCCACTTAGGAAGCTCATCCATAGCTCTGAAAGGTAAAGACCTGAAATTGTATTCTATCTAAATTATGATTGTTTCCTTTCTGTGGGGATTGTATGTGTGCCAGCCAGTGGGTTGTGCAGAATAACGTGTAGGTAAGAAATGGGTATCTGGTAACCTATGCTTACAATTGTAAAGAGTTGAATCTATAAAGACATGAAGAGTGAGGCTGTAATGATAGTTTTCTCCTTAGGAACCCACACAGCACAAGTCAGAAGGCCTACTCCTCACTTTCCATGGGCATGTGACTGCATGGATGAGTGTGGGTACTTATGTTATTTGATTCTAAACATTTCCTGCTAAGAATTAAAAGCACCAGGCCTGAAATAAACAGGCAAAATGTGTATGTTTATTTCTTGTCAAGAAAATAATTGAATGAGGATGATTCATCAGCAAATCTCGTTTGTACTAGTTTGTAAAATGTACCTAAGAAGGAATTGACAGATGATGGGAGGATACATTATTTTCATCCCCATCACGCCTAGAAACCCTCATTTATATTTCTACTTTTGGCCAAAGTGCAAGTCCGTGGCTTGACATGTGGAAATAAGTGGAGAGTTGGAAGCAAGCTCTTTGTAGGTCAGAGTTGGGGGTATCTGTGAAAAAATTGGAGACTAAACTGAGTACTTCAATTAAAGTTTTCTTGTAGGTTAGCCAATCATGTTTTCCAGGAGAATAACTTTTTTTTTGAATCCCTATAAGGGCTTTTTAGGAAGTATCCCAGGAAGTATATTTACGGACGACCTGTATAATAACTGGCTTTGTGTCCTGGATAAAGGGAATGAGGAGACTCAAATAGCAGCAATTCAGAGGTGAGGATACCAATAATCTCTTTAAAATATCAGCTATTTTAGCATTTCATCCATTAAAATCATAACCACTGACAAGAGTTTTTGGTCACACAGATGGAGGCCAGTTTAGAAAGGTATGTGGGTCATGCATGCTGCTGTCATTCCTTTGTTTCTCTTAACATTATTAATACGGAGTCCTTGACCTTTGTACTCATCCTGAACATACTGCCTTGATACAGGAGGAAATTCATAGGTTCAAGTCAAAGGCAAGAGGCCCAACTGATCATTGGTCTTTGTGTATCATTGTCAATGTGTTAGCTAACCAGAGAAGTCCAGTGGAGGTCTAGGAATTGAATTCATGACATGTTTGTGTATGTAGTCCTAAGCCGTGATGAGTCTGTTTGATAACTGGTAACCTTTGTACTCTTGCCATGGGTGGCATTCTTGTGCTACTACCTTACAAAGAAGCAAAGAGGTACATTCATCAAGAAGCTTCCAAGTGGTCAAATTCTGGCATTTAATAAATATCTTAAATATGCTTCTGTTACATTAGATAGTAATGAGATTTGCTCCGTTTAACACGTGACATAGTAGATTAGAGGAAATATTGCAGACAGTACTTTGAAGACACATTAGGACATTGACCAGTACTTTCATTGGGTTTTGCCAGTGACAAACAAAACATTTAGTTCCTTTTCTCTGGATGTACAATGTCTTCAATTAAAGTTCTTGTGTTAAGAGTATACTTTTCTATGTTCAGACTTTTAGGTAAGCTGCCAAAATCAAACTTTAAACTCCTGCGTTCCCTATTTGGAGTCTTAGAGAAGATTGCAAAGCAATCATCTTTGAATAATATGACAGCTTCAAAGTTGTCATCTTGTGTAGCTCCAAGTCTTTTTTGGCTACGTGGTTCCACAATCTCAGCAAGAAGAAAGGAAAGGAGGAGAAAGGTAATTAGATGTCGCATTTGTATGCCCTAGGGAGCACTGTCTCCACTTTGCATTTACAGTTCACTATCTTAATGCTGATGGACCATTTTGAAGTTCTCACTTTAGGTACTCCTCTGGAGGGCCATAGTCATTCATTCTTCTGGCAGTTGTGGGCAGGTGGGATGGTAAGCAAGACATTGATAGCAGGGAATCATTTCTTATTTCGCATCTGAAAATTGACCACAAGACTGATAGTGTAAAGTAAGAAGAGAGTCACATGATGTTAGGAGCTTGGAGTGTGGCCAACATTATGGTACAACAGGTTGGGTAGCTGTCAATGTTACTGGCATTCCATATTGCAGTGATGGTTCAAATCCCAGCTACTCTGCTTTTGATCCAGCTCCCTGTTAATGTGCCTGGGAAGGCAGTGAAAGATGGTTCCCTGTATTTTGTGGCCATTTGGAGAGTGAACAAGCTGATGGACTGTCTCTTTCTCCTTCTGCCTTTCCCTCTCTGTAACTCTGTCTTTCAAATTAAAAAAATACATATTAACAAAAAAGAAATGAACATGGACTTTGTGTTGTACAAAACAGTCTTCAAGTCTAGGTCTCTCCATTGAGGGAGACATTTGTAAGCCAAGGCTTCCTCAGCTGATGAATGGTAGAAGCTGTAACTCAGAGAAGCTGAGTGACTGCTAGGGTGGCTTTGGCAATGTGGGTGTGCACACTGAACTCCCTTTGCCAGTTGTGATTCATTCAGATATGCCTGAATCTGATTTCATTTCTGCTGATAGAATATGATATCAACTGAAATTTGAGAATATCCTAATAGATTCACGATAACAAAGGGGCCAAACTTTTCTCTAAGCTCCTTCAGAAAGCCATACTGAGAAGAGACAGGGCACTGCACAAGGAGAGACTGAAGTTAGACAGGCATACATTTTCTCTCCACTTGCCTCCTTTCTTGCCAAAAGAACCAAACAAGAATCTTTGATTCACAAGTTTAGGATACATCCCTGAAAGTGAATTCCCCAGGCTTGCATCTATTTTGTTGCTTTACAGATTTCACAATGGGATATATATTTTTACTCTAACCATTCTAGAAATCCTAATTGAAAATGTCATATCTGTAAAGAGGTATTCATTGAAGGCTGGCGCTGCAGCTCAATAGGCTAATCTTCCACCTGCAGCGCCGGCACACTGGGTTCTAGTCCTGGTTGGAATGCCAGATTCTGTCCCAGTTGCCCCTCTTCCCGTCCAGCTCTCTGCTGTGGCCCAGGAGTGCAGTGGAGGATGGCCCAAGTTCTTGGGCCCTACACCCGCATGGGAGACCAGGAGAAATACCTGGCCCCTGCCTTCAGATCAGCGCGGTGTGCTGGCCATGGTGCACTGGCCTCAACGGCCATTGGAGGGTGAACCAACGGTAAAAGAAGACCTTTCTCTCTGTCTCTCTCTCACTGTCCACTCTGCCTGTCAAAAATAAATAAAAAAATAAAAAAACAACAAAAAATGAGGTATTCATTGATGAAAAATGCTGAAAACTAAGTTCAGAAATGATGTTAATCAACTGACTAGAAGAACATAAAAATCTGTACCCACGTGCTCTCAAAATTGACATAATTTCCCAGAGAAAATGGATTTTCATAATTTTTTGTCAACTCTGAATTCTTCCTGAAATTCTGAGTTTCACCTTTTTTGCTAGGTATTTGATTTTTGTATGGAATAAGGTATATACTGTTGCCAAATATAAAAATACATTCTATTTTTGCCCATTTTTGTTGCAGGTTGCTGTTGTAAAATTTCTAATTGAACATTTCTTCAGCATTTTTGGGGAAGACATCACCTCTCCCGTGGAAGAAAATGCAATAAATCAGGACAACTACTCAGAAACATCATTTAGGTGATTTTGATGACAAAGTCACGCTGATTCACCCTGCAAATGACTGGGTTAGGCTAATGCACAAAGAAAGAACTTAATCCAGGTCTCTCATATGAATGGCAGAGATCAGTGTACTGGAGCCCAAACTACTTGTTTCAGTACATTGTGGCGGCAAAATGTTTTGGAATTCATGGCTGGTTTTTCATTATATAACCTTTTCATATTTAGTGAAAAGATGTTTTGAATCAAAACATTTTTGGAACCATAATATAGTAATACTTTTAATTCTGTTTTTCCACAAATGGTTTGAAAGCCTTTGTAGATACTGTCAATGTGCTCTAGATTAAACTCAAGTGAGGGGTTCTAAACAATGCCTGTTTGATTTAGTTCCCTTTTCCACTCGATAGTCTCCCAGTGCTTTTTCAAGCAGTTTGAAGAAAACTGGCATCATTGAGGAAAAGGGTCTTGTTTTCCTGTCAAACAAGCTTTCCAGAGCAAAAAAACTTGTGGCATCATTTTCCTGTGGTATTATTTTTGTTTCTCTGTCAGCTTCAGTTTATCTGTAAAATATAGACAAGAGAATATATAAATCTCAGGCTGCTTTATGTGTTAATCAGATGCAGATGTAAACTAAAACAGCTGAAAAAAGAAAAGAATTCATAGGGCAGTAGAGATTCCACTGAAACTGAGAGCTAGCTAGTACTTCCCAACCTAGCTAACTGCAGGCAACAAGCACTCTACTCATAAGTGGAATTCAGGATCAGAACCGGAGAACATGTCCCTGCAGATTGACTTTTCCTGGTTTTGTGAAATTCACCTCATCACTTACAGGAAAAATCTTTGGGAAAATCCATTTCATCAAGAATTGGGATGTCTCCAGTATCTTAGAATATTTATACCAAGACAACCTTTTGTTTTCTTTTTTACAGAACAAATGCATAAATCTGATGCATCCACATCCACTAAAGTTATGATAATTAGCAAGAAGGCAACATTGACAGATGATCTCTAGACCATACCTGCTGCCAGCTCCACCAACTGTTCTTTCATTTTCTGAGTTCCTGAATTTTGACATTTACAGATACATATGACCTTTATCCCATATCTCCTTTCACATTGGGCTAGGAGATATTTTGACAAATGTTCACAATATTTTTCTAAACTTGGATAAAAGCTTTACCTTCTAGTGAAGAATGATGGAATATATTAGTAATGGAATGGATAAGAAGAACCTTAAACTAAGACTACCTCCAGAAAAGTCACATCTTTGGCAAAAGAAAGTGTACAAGATCTGATTTTCTTAAACATACTTTTTCATTGGTCCAGTATATCTAGTTTAAATACTCTGGAGATCCTTTTTTAAATTCCATGGAGATTCTTTTGATGACTTTCAATATACCATAAATATCTTTGCTACATCCAAAGTAATTAAATATTATAAGAATGAATGTATAAAAAATACATTTTGACAAATCCCACTTTAAAACTAATTGAATCAAATGACTTTTTAAAAGTCTGATAGTTTGATATATAGGAAATTTCAGTATTGCACAATACTGAAAGGTACAGAGCATAAGCTCAATTTTCTTTCACACTCTTTTAAGGATTGTTTGTATCTTTCATTCTATTAAATTATTTTATTCTATTGTTTATTTTTCTTATGAATACAATAAAATTACTTTATCACTTACTGGCTTTGGTGACCATTTTATTTTCCCATAATTAGAGATTTGCTACAAGCTCAGCTGGATAGTCCTTCTGGTCTCACCTGAGTCACTCAAAGGCTTGCAGTCAACTGACAGTGCCACTGGGGCTACTTTAGGGTCTTTGGATTTATGCTGGCTCTTTTTTGACTTCCATGTCTTCTAAAGGGAAGCTCTGCCTCCTGCATGTGTAGCAGGAAGAGATGCCAAACACTTCTCAAACCTCTGTTTGCTTCATGTTTGCTAGTCCCCCATCAGTCAAAGTCCAGTGGCATGTGGTCAAGGCCCCGATCCACTGGAGGACAGGACTACACAAGGGGCCACACGACAAACTACAATGTTCCAAGACAAGGGGCATTCATTTTATTGAGGGTTATTACCCTAGTATGAGACACATAATCCAAACTCAAGGCAGCATCATCACCTCACTCATCCCTTTATTCACCCACTTTAAACACTTCATTTTCTAGGATCCCAGAAGTCTGTTAGGTTCTCCTTCATGGGTGCCAAGGACCCAAGTGCCTGAACTGTCATCTGCTTCATCTGCTTTCTCCAAGGGTGTGCACTCGCGGCAAGCTGTATTGGAAGTAGAATAGCTGGGAGTTAAACCAGGCATTCCCATATGGGCTCCAGGCATATGACTTAACCACTGCCCCAAATGCCTACCCCAATGTCAAATTCTTTATTAGCATTTTCTAAAGGTAAATCTAAGAGTGGTGGAAAATAACTTTGAAATAATAATAGGCATTTCCCCCTCAGATATTCTTTGTTTCCACTTTCTCCCAATAAATGTCTAGGTCGTTACTTCTGGAAGAGAATTTACAGCGAAAATATTAGGAAAGAAGAACTCTATGTTGCTTGTGTTTAAAAAATTGAGTCTCCTGGAACTGGCATTGTTCAATGCCAGCATCCCACATTGGCAATGGTTTGTGTCATGGGTGCTCCACTTCTGATCCAGCTACCTGTTAATGGCCTGGTAAAAGCAGCAGAAGAGGACCCAAGTGTTTGGGCCTCTTCCACCCACTTGGGAGTCCCAGATGAAGCTCATGGCTTTGGCCTGGCCCAACCGTGGCTATTGAAGCCATATAGGGAGTGAACCAACAGATGAAAGATCTCTCTCTGTATCTCTGTCTATCTCTCTGTCTCCCTTCCTCTCTGTAATCTAATTTTCAAAATAAATAAATATTAAAAATAATTGAATCTCTAGTGAAGCTAACAATATCTGAGGCATAAGGATTTAGGTGAAAAATTCAAGGAAAATAGCAGGCTTGTTAGGATTATGGGACATGAATCCAATTTCTTGAATGGTATGCACATGGAGGCTTCACAGAAGACCCCACCCAAAGACACATCTGAGACAGATGGGCCCTGTTTACTCCCAGTTTCTTGTTCCTCAACATGGATCAGCTTAGTAAGAGTGCTCTCAGTGACACACTGGATTTGAGGGAGCGATGTTTCATTGGCATCTGTATAGACTGGCTCCCCAGCACCAGAGAGCAATAAGAAGATCTCAGCAGTTGCTAGTTCCCTGAGATGACACAGAGGCCCAGGTGAGTGACAGATACTTTTCTCCAAGGCCCTAACTCCTTGGCACTAGAAAACTGAGAACATGGATAAATCCTGTATATCTATTATCTGATAATAGTGGATTGAATTAGAAATTGGTTGAGCAATTTAAAAATAGATAACAATGTTTCTTACATCTCCTGCTTGCGTAGACTCAGACTGGTACTGCTATATAAAGAATGCTTGCTTTATGCCTGCCATCCTTGAAAGGATTCCCTAAACAAATTTGGAAAATGTATTTTCCTACAGAGGTTGCCTTCTAGCCATTCCTGTTACTCATCTTTACACATTTTATAAAGTGAAATGGAGAAATGAAGGTTCTCAGAAGCGTGGGCGTGAGTTCACTCCTCCAGTCTGAGTCTCAATCTCTTTAGAAAAGGGTTGGGTGGAAGGAGTTGGAGTCTCATGTTTTAATATGTTATTTTATAAATTATTTTACTAATTGAAGGGCAGAGAGCAAAACAGATAAGCAGAAAGAGAGATTCCCCCACCTCACCACTGGTTCACTCCCCAAATATCCAAATAGCAGGTGACAGCTAAAGCCAGGAGTGAGGAAGTCAGTCTGGGTATCCTAAGTGGATGGCAGGGATTCAAGTACTTGGGCTCTCACCAGCTGCTTCCTAGGATGCATGTTCACAGGAAGCTGTAATGTAGAACTAAATGGGACTCTGTCCTAGGAACTCTGGTAAAAATAAGGGATTTGGATGTTGGAAGTGGTATCTTAACTCCTAGGCAAAATGCCCACAACTGGGCTTTAGTTTTAATGTAACTGTTTCTTCTCTTCTCCTAGATATATTTCAAGGAAGAAAGGCCTCAGGAAATGACTTCTCAGTGACTGAGTTTATCCTGCTGGGATTAACTCAACAGCCAGAACTGCAGCTGACTCTCTTCTTCCTGTTCTTGGGGATCTATGTGGTCACTGTGGTGGGGAACCTGGGCTTGATTGCTCTGATTGGTCTGAACCCTCACCTGCACACCCCCATGTACTACTTCCTCTTCAACCTGTCCTTCATTGATCTCTGCTACTCCTGTGTCATAAGTCCCAGAATGCTGGTGAGTTTTGTGAAAGAGAACATCATCTCCTATGTTGAGTGCATGGCTCAGCTCTTTTTCTTCTCTTTCTTTGTTATTGATGAGTACTGTATCTTGACATTGATGGCCTATGTCAGATATGTAGCCATCTGTAAGCCCCTGCTGTACAAGATCACCATGTCTCCTCAGGTCTGCCTCATGCTGACGGTGTGTGCATATGTCATGGGTTTTGTGGGTGCCATGGCTCACACTGGATGCATGCTGAGACTCAACTTCTGTGATGGCAACATCATCAATCATTTCATGTGTGATGTATCTCCTCTCCTCCAGCTCTCCTGCACAAGCACTTTTATCAATGAATTGGTTATTTTTATTGTGTTGCTCATCAACATAACAGTGCCCAGTCTTACTCTCTTCATTTCTTATACCCAGATCCTCTCCAGCATTTTGCGTATCCGTTCTACCAATGCCAGGTCCAAAGCCTTCAGTACCTGCAGCTCCCACATGATCACTGTTTGTCTTTTCTTTGGATCTGCATCTTTTATATATTTTAAACCTTCTCCTGCTGGGTCTCTGGCTCAAGATAAAGTATCCACTATTTTTAACACCATTGTGGGGCCAATGATGAATCCTTTCATCTATAGTCTGAGAAATAAAGATGTTCATGTTGCATTAAGACTTTGAAGAATAGCATACTTTCCCGACTTGAAGCTGTCTTTGTTATAGATGCCAATTCCTAGTAAAAGCACATGATATGTAAATCCATGGAAAGAAGGGTAAGAAATCAAGATAAAATGGTAATATTTGGATAAGAGGGAAATTAATTTAATTACATAGATCACTTCATGATTCAAGACAATGGATGCAGGTAGAGTATCAGACCTTCAACCTTTCAGAGAGCCTGGAGAACTTTTCATTCTGTTATTCTCAGGAAAAAATGTAGTAGAGATATTACTGTAAGAGGGAAAAGTTGAATGATGTTAACTCCATAAATGGTAAGACTGAATTTTTAGACTCTGACACATCTAGGATTTCTGTGCAACTTTGTCATGGAGATATCAACTTCTGTGAATCTAGATTCACGGAAATGTGAATTCTGTGAAAATGTGGATTCCTAGATTTGAGGACATAGTGAAGCTCTTATATGAACCTTAAATGAACAGAATAGGAGCCCCTGGAATGGACTGGGGGGCTCCAGAGAACATTCTAGAACTTAAGTAAGAACTAAAACTGCTCTTGCCCTACAGCTCCCCAGTGTAGAAAAGCCATTTTCTCTGTACATAGAGGAAAGGAAGGGACTAGCCTTAGGTACCCATAGTCAAAAATTGGGGCGATGCCTTAGCCAGTGGCCTACTGTAAACAGCCAGATTATGTGGCAGCAGGATATCCAGAATGCCTGAGGACTGTAGCTGCTACAGTTATAGTGGTTGAAGCAATATCCAAATCAACTCTTGAGGAACTATCCCTCATCAAGTACAGGGGGTCCTTGATGCTAAATGTTATCAATGGCTAACTAGAGGTTAACTCTTCTTCTCTTAAGATTTATTTGTTTATGCATTTGAAAGGAAGAGTGACGGGGGGAGGGAGGGACACACACACACACACACACACAGTGCAAGCACTTCTACCTACTGGTTTATTTTCCAAATGGCTGCAACAGCCAGGCCAAATTGAGGAACCAGGAACTCCATCTGGGTCTCTCACATGGGTGGCAGGGGCCCAAGATTTTGGGCCATCTTTTGTTGCTTTCCCAGTTGCATTATTAGGAAGCTGGATTAAAAGTGGAGAAACTAGGACTCTGACACCCTGATTTGGATATTGACATCCGAAGCAGAGGCTTAATAACCTGCACACAATACTGTCTTCTTGAGGTCAATTCTTAAGCTATCAGGCCATGTTGTAGGACTCCTCTGAGTCCTCAAATCCTCAAAACCTGCCAAACCTTAACTCCCAGTCAACATTTTGCCTGAAACAGATGGTAGGGAATTAGCACACTCTTGCACAGAAACTATGGAATAGACATACTTTAACAAACCAGGTCTAGAGGATGAGCAATTACTCAATTCTGATGCTGAATGTTTTACTGGTAGAAACAGTTACACATATAAAGAAGCTGAAAGGACATTGTTAGCCTACAGGAAGTTGTAGAGGGAAAAACCCTGCCACCCAGTTTCTTTGCCCAAAATGTTGAACTTGCTGCTCATATTTGGGCTCCACATCCAGGGAAGGGATTGAGATGAAATATGTAGGAGACTCCAAAAACACTATTCTAATCTTACACACCCATGGTGCTATCAGGAAGGAAAGAGGTCTGCCTAATGCAAAGAGCTTCCCAACTAAATATCATGATGGAATATTAAAACTACCTTAGGCAGTATTGATGCCTGGGGAGACTGTGGTAACTCACTGTCAGGGACATCAAAAGAGGATACTCAGATCATTAAAGGAAATAACTTAGCTGATAGAGCTGCTAAGATGTCAGCCTTCCAGGCCATAGAGACTCAAGCTGTCTCAGGAGACTTACCTATAAGTTCACAATACTCTTCAGAAGAGGAGACATAGGCAAATGAAAAGGGACTTAACAAGGATGCTGGTGGATGATTAAAACATGATGTCAAGAATTTTTTGCCTCAAGCAGGAAATTACTAATATTTAAATAATGCCCTTCACATGGGAAGAGATTCCATGACTGTAGTGTGGCATAGCAATTTGTAGGAAAGAAGACCTTAGCAATACTGTTAAAGAAGCAAATGAGGGCTTGTGAACTATGCTTCCAAAATGTGCCAGGTCATCCTCAATTTTTCCTACTTCCACCTGAGCCATGCAACATCAACACACTCATCCAGGGGAAGACTGGCAAGCGGACTTTACTCAAACACACTCTACTGGACAGTTTAAGCACATCTAGGTCTTTATAGATAGCTTCACTGGATGATTAGAAGCCTTCCCAAGTAACACAGAAAAAGCAACAGGAGTGGCTGAATTCTTACTAAAGCATATTATTCCATGCTTTGGGTTCCCAGAGCACCCTCCCTTCACTGCTATGATAATTCAACAAATATCTAAAGCCTTAGGAATTACTTGCAAGACACATTCTTCCTACATGCCACAATATCTATGAAAACTAGAAAAGGTAAATCAGTTTTCAAGGTCAACTATGACAAGAAACCTCAGAAATAGTTAAACTTATTTCCTAATGCCATCTTGAAAATAAGAACGGCTACTAAATCAGTTCTTAAACTTGGCCCTTTTGAAATGTTATATGGAAGGCTTTTTCTGTGTGATTCAGATACCAATTAGACAGTTGATCATGTTATCATTTCATGTTTATTTTAAAAGCAAAGGTGGGATAGGGAATGGTTGGGTTGGATAAGAGAGATACAGAGAGAGACACATGGACAGAGATGTCCTGCTTGCTGATTTTTTTCCCCCAATGTTTGCAACATTGGGGCTAGTTCAAGCTGAAACCAGGAGCTGGTAACTCAACTCTGGATCTCCTACATGAGTGGTAGATACCCAATTTCTTGGACCATTCCAGCTGCCTCCAAGGCAGTGCATTAGCAGGAAGCTAGTTTAGAAGTGGAGTTGGGATTACACTCAGGCAATCTGATAGGAGATGTGGATGTATACACATAGTAGTTTTCCATGATAAATGTATAAGAATGGAAAAATGTTAGTGGTTTCCATGTATTAAGGGAGAAATGGAGGCAGGAAAGAACTGAGTCTAAAAGGGCAACATGAAAATTTCTTGTAATGAAAATACTCTATATTTTGTTTGAACCTATGAAAATAAGCTGCAATTTTCTTTAAATTAGAAATACTTTCTGTAGAAATGAGCACCTGATAGTTTATTTTTATTTATAAACAATTCCTTTACATCATAGAACTTTGGTCATGACATTAAAATATATTGGCCAGTGGTACTGCATGTTCTAGAAGGTTAATTTAGTTTGACATGATCCTGCAAACCATAAGTCCTCTTAGTTAAACACCTTTTTTCTTTTCTGCATGATATAGTGTAATATAAAGCTTAAATTACCACTGATTTGGCAAGTTAGAACATATGGGCTTCCATTACCTAAAAGAAGTCAGAAATGAGTGCTTAATGTTACGATGTATCTCAGTGAAAAAGATGAATCATTTGCCATACTTTGTTATAACTGAGTTACTCTCATGTGGCCATCATGAAAAAAGGAAGGGAATGAGATATTTTTGCAATGCAAAGAAAGCCCAGAATTTCTCTACATTCATTCTGTATCTGCTTCCAGGTGCCCTGGCTATATTGCAGATGAAATAATGACTTTCATTCTAAGCTCTAGCTTAAATTACTGGAATAAAACTCTTATTGCAATGTGATTTGATGTAACATGAACTTCCATGGAATGTTTCTGACTCTTCTTTTTTACTTAAATAAGAGATCTTAATATTTCCATAGAAAATACACATTTTAATGAATAACTAAGGTCTTGATCATTTCCATAGATAAAGAAATATCAATCTCATGGGATAATTCTCAAGTTTTCCCTTAAGGATTTTTGGTCTCCTAACAATTTTTAAGAGTCTGAAAATAATAATTGGGATGCATTTTAGTAATTATTGAGTTTCAAATTATCATAATAGTGAAATAAAAATAGGTGTTTTACATTTTTCTTGCCTCTGCTTTTTTTCTACTTTTCTCTTTAACACTTTTTCCATGACTTTATTTAAAAAAATGATTAGTTAATTAATTCAAGAGTTGGGGTCAGAAGAGAAAGCAATAGGGAGAGACAGAGGGAGAGAAAGTGTGCCCATCCACTGGTTTACTCCCTAAATTGCTTCAATGGCCTGAGGACTGATGCCTGGAGCCAGGAATTCAATCCAAGTATCCCATATGTGTGGCAGAAATACAACCACTTGAGACATCACTGTTGCCTCCCAGGGTCCATATTAGCAGGAATCTGGAATAAGAAACCAGAGCCTAGAGTCTAACCTAGATACTCTAATTCAGAAGCAGATGTTCTTATGGTTGCCGACACTCTAAGCAAACGTCTCCTCTGCACCAGTCCCATAACTTTAATATCTATGGAAATCATCCCCATACATTTCCTCCATGTTCTAACCTTTACCTGAGCATAGACTACTGTATACTTCTACTTGGATGTCCATTTGGCAACACAAGCCCACCAACTTCAAAACTGAATGTACAAATTTAACCAATGTTCCTACTTTTTGTGCATTCTTTCTGTTTGTAGCAATGACATGATTTACTCAAACATATAGGTTACAATCTTTGGGAAGTTTTTTTCTATTTTAACTATAAATATGAGAAATCGAATCTTCCATTGTAACACTTCTTCCACAAGTGTATTTTTAGAACTACTCACAGTAGCACTGCTAATTCAGGGTTTTTTTGTTGAAAATCATTCATGGGCTGATGAATTATAAATGTTAATTGTCAGCTGAGGTTCATTCCTTCATATACCCACCATATTAATCTTCCTACATCTGCACCATTACTATTTCAATTCTGTGCCAAAAAAATGAAAATAAAGATAAAAACCTTCTGTAGTGAATGGCTCCTTGGTTTTTGCACTTGAGAACTTCCTCTACTGATCTAAATGTGCCTTTGACCTGCAGTTTTGTTCTGGCAGTCCTGTAGGGGGAACATTGAGAACTTTTGAGAGACTAAAAATTCTCAGTGTAATGTTCAGGGAGGATGGAAATTATATAGTCTTTTCCTGCACTCATCACCACTAATTTGAAGTTCTCCTGCATGACCTCTGAGAGTTCAGAAATGGCCTTTTACATGCTCCTCCTATGTTATTTTGTGCTAAATTCAAGTCTACAAGAAACATTGAGACTACATATGCCTGTTCTTTGGGGCTAGAAATTTGTTATGGGTTTCATGAGTAATGGAGAGGGGATTATCATTCTTTCATTCCTTTACTATAAAATATTTATTGAGTAATTAATATGTGTACCAGGTATTTCTCAAAGGTGCTACAGAAATAGCATTGAAGGAAATAGATAATGTACCTGATATTTTTGTGCTTATATTCAAATATTTGTGAGTTCCGAATATGTGTTTATGTGTTGTAGAAAGAAGAACATGATGGGGCCAGCGCTGTGGCACAATTGGTTAATGTCTTGGCCGGACGCACCAGCATCCCATATGGGCGCTGGTTCTAGTCCCGGCTGCTCCTCTTCTGATCCAGCTCTCTACCATGGCCTTGGATAGCAGTAGAAGATAGCCCAAGTCCTTGGGCTCCTGCACCCATGAGGGAGACCCAGAAGAAGCTCTTGGCTCCTGGCTTCAGATCGTCACAGCTCCGGCCATTGCGGCCATCTGGGGAGTGAACCATAGGATGGAAAACCACTCTCTCTCTCTCTCTGCCTCTCCTCTCTCTGGGTAACTCTGACTTTCCAATAAATAAATAAATCTTTAAAAAAATAAGAACATGAAACAGATAATTTACAGTATTTCATATATAGAGAGATGCAGGTGTAGGAGAGGTCATCCTGGTTTCTGTTTTGGGATAGGACTCATTTGGTAGGAAAGCAAGTGTGTATAAAGTTGCTGTTGGAAAAAGGAATGTCATTATCATGAACTAGTCTGTAAATCCAGTGGAGGCAATTAATGTTAGCTCCAAAGCATGATCTCTGGGGAAACAGATGACAAACATAAGTTTTCAGATTTTTAATGAGGTCCCTTGGATTTCCTAACTCATAAAAAACCCTTGGGTCATTCTAAGAGGTGGCTCTTCTGGTATTGGCAAATCCCTTTTATCACAACATATTCTGACAAGAAAACTCTGGTCAAAGCCACGATGAGAAACCATAATCTGTGACTCCTGGCTTCCCAGAGCCTGGGGTACTGAACAATGTGTTCTGGTTCCCTCAATCCCAAACTTGATCAGAACACAAGAAAATCATTCTGAACTGCTGCTCACTGCCCAAACTTATCAGCGCCACTTGCCCCTGTGTAAGAATAGGGGAGCGGAGTTAACAAAGTCCTCTTTGAGCCCTGAGGGAAAAGGGTGAGTGTTGACTGTATCTGTCCTGCTAAGTACTCACAAACCTCATCTGTGGGAGCCCAGAAATACTCAAAATGGCTCACCTTCTCTGCTGATGCCACCATTGACCCTGAAGAGGTCAAAACATGGCCTGGAGGGGCTGTACAGTCTAGAGTGGTTGAAGAATCCCAGGAGCTTCTCCCTATAGAAGTTGCTTCCAGGTCTTCTTGACATTAAGTGCTCAGAAGGGTGGGCTTGGGTTCATTCCTTCATTCTGGGTCGTAATTCATTAGTGTTGGATTGGGTGAAGAGAACAAGGTTCCCATATTTTAATGTTTCTATTGTACCTCTAATCACAGGTATGTGTGAAGGAAGAATGGCCTCAGGAAATGAGTCTTCAGTGACCCAGTTTATCCTGCTGGGATTAACTCAACAGCCAGAACTGCAGCTGCCTCTCTTCTTTCTTTTCTTAGGAATCTATGTGGTTGCTATGGTGGGGAACCTGGGCTTGATTGTTCTCATTTTTGTGAATCCTCACCTACACACCCCCATGTACTACTTCCTCTTCAACTTGTCCTTTGTTGATCTCTGCTACTCCTGTGCCATAACCCCCAGAATGCTGGTGAGTTTTGTGAAACAGAACACCATCTCCTATGCTGAGTGCATAACTCAGCTCTTTTTCTTCTGCTTCTTTGCTATTGATGAGTGTTATGTCTTAACATCGATGGCCTATGATAGATATGTGGCCATTTGCAAGCCCCTGCTGTACAAGGTCATCATGTCTCCTCAGATCTGCCTCATGCTGATGGTGTGTACATATACAATGGGAATTGCAGGTGCTATGGCCCACACTGGATGCATACTGAGACTCACCTTCTGTGATGGCAACGTCATCAGTCATTTCATGTGTGAAACACCTCCTCTCCTCCAACTCTCTTGCATAAGCACCTACATCAGTGAGCTGGTGGTTTTCATTGTGTTGCTCATCAACATAGCAGTGCCCAGTCTTACTCTCTTTGTTTCTTATACCAGGATCCTCTCCAGCATCCTGCACATCCATTCAGCCCATGCCAGGTCGAAAGCTTTGAGAACCTGCAGCTCCCACATAATCACTGTTTGTCTTTTCTTTGGATCTGCATCTTTTATATATTTTAAGCCTTCTCCTGCTGGATCTCTGGCTCAAGATAAAGTATCCACTATTTTTTACACCATTGTGGGACCAATGGTGAATCCTTTCATCTATAGCTTGAGGAACAAAGATGTTCATGTTGCACTGAGTAAGACTTTGCAGAAGACAAAGTTCTTTTCCTAAATATAACTGTATTAGTTATCAATGCCATTTCTTAATAAAGATATGTATATTCATGGAAAGAAGAGTAAGAAATCAAAATAAAAATGTGAATAATTTAGAAAATAGGGAAAATTTAGTTATATAGATAAGAAGTGAAGAAAATATAAAGAAGTGGAGTGTCAGACCTTCAGCCTTTCAGAGGAAGTCTGAAGAAGAGTTCATTCTGTTCTTAAGTTTCAGGAATTATAATGTGTGTTTTAAATAAAAAAAAGTTGCATGATGATTACACCAGAAATGGTAAGACTGTGAGCTTTTTGACTAGGAAATTGTGCAGCTTTTTTTTATTCATGGCAATATCACGTTTGGTGGACTTAAATTCATTTATTAATTTATTAATTTAGCAACTCTCCATTGAAAGTTATAGGGGATTTTGTTTTGGGGGATTTCTTTGTTTTCATGAATGCAGAACTTCAAGGGATGCTTTTCTCCCTCTGGTCTCTGGTGTGTTCTCATTGTCATCTTAGGAGAGGGTGAGATATGGAGACCAAGGATTTTCTTATGGGCCTGGTTAAGAAGAAGAAATACAAATAACCTTATAGAGCAGCCAGATAAAAGGGTTTTACTGGTTGGATTTCAGGGTAAGAGTGTAGGTACTGAAGCATGGTATGTGTTTATTGGGAAGAATTTTACCATAAACGCTTACCAATTATTGGTAGAGGAATACTTTTCCTCTCTCTAAATAGATTTCAAAATCTTAAATCATTATCACTCATAATTTTCTCATTATTTTCATTCTTCCTTTTTTTCTCAGTGGTTTATGTAATATAAATAATGTAGTATTTTAATAAGTAGATACATAATGTTTATGTACCCTCTACCCAGATGTTTTTAAAATTCAGACATCTGCTGGTGATAAAGACAGGAGATGACTGAGCTGTCAGAGGGCTGATTGTTTACAGCAAGGTGTAGATGGGTTGGCGTTCTAAGACATGATGAGTGAGCAGATACATGCAGACATATCATGGAAATGTTATGCAGAATGATATATTAAGGTGATGACAGAGTACCTGCAAGTTGTACTTTAGACAGAGTGGTCAGGAAGGGCTTTTCTGAGGAGGTGATATGTCCTCTGAGTGCTGACAGACAAGAAGGAACTAAGCACATGGAGTACTCTAGGCAGAGGGAGTAGCGGGGGCAAAGGCTCAGAGGCAGTGACCATCCCGGCGGGTACAACAGTCAGTGTGACAGTGGTGTGGTGGAGGAGGGGTGCATGTTGACTGATTTAAAAGTCACATTACAGTAATTCTATGCACTTTTCTTTTTACCTAATGTCCCAAAATCAACATGTATCTTATAATCAGTGACATTTTACACTCATATCTGCCTGCTGGCAGTTGTACTGTAGTTGCCATTGCTTTTGCATGGACAAACTTGTTTGTAGCTATTCATGTTCTGTAGTTGAGAAGAATTACTCATCAATATGTGTGGATTTTATTTCCTTTGAAATTATTTAGTTTTTAATAAATATTTCTTAGAAAGCTTATTTCTACAGTTTGTATAACTATAACTTCAAACCATTTTGTATTGTTTAGATTTGGGGAGTAAATCAGTGAGAGTAAACCACTGAGAGTGAGAGACCTCTCTCTGTCTGAACCTTTTTTTTTTTTTTTGCATTTTTATTTTTTTAACAGGTTTATTTTTAAAAATTTTTTATTTAGTAAATATAAATTTTCAAAGTACAGTTAATGGATTACAGTGGCTTCCTCCCCCATAATTTCCCTCCCACTCACACACCTCCCATCTCCCATTCCCTCTCCCATTCCATTCACATCAAGATTCATTTTCAATTCTCTTTATATACAGAAGATCGATTCAGTATATATTAAGGAAAGATTTCATCAGTTTGCACCCACACAGAAACACAAAGTGTAAAATACTGTTTCAGTACTGGTTATAGCATTACTTCACATTGGACAACACACTAAGGACAGATCCCACATGAGAAATAGGTACACAGTGACTCCTGTTGTTGACTTAACAATTTGACACTCTTGTTTATGGCATCAGTAATTTCCCTAGGCTTTAGTCATGAGTTGCCAAGGCTATGGAAGCCTTTTGAGTTCGCCAACTGCGATCTTATTCAGACAGGGTCATAGTCAACGTAGAAGTTCTCTCCTCCCTTCAGAGAAAGGTACCTCCTTCTTTGATGGCCCCATTCTTTCCACTGGGATCTCACTTGCAGAGATCTTCCATTTAGGTCTTCCTTTTTTTTTTTTTTTTCCAGGGTGTCTTGGCTTTCCATGCCTAAAATACTCTCATGGGCTCTTCAGCCATATCTGAATGCCTTAAGGGCTGATTCTGAGGCCAGAGTGCTATTTAGGACATCTGCCATTCTATGAGTCTACTGTGGATCCTGCTTCCCATGATGGATCGTTCTCTCCCTTTTTGATTCTATCAGCTAGTATTAGCAGTGAGTAAGGGACAAATATCATATGTTCTCCCTGATCGGCGACAACTAACTGAGCAGCAAAGGGGAAACCTGTTGAAGTAAAATGGACACTATGAGAAACAGTGACTTGATCAGCTCTTGTCCTGACTGTTGATGTACAATGTAATATTTTAGCCATTTTAGTATTTTCTCTTTGTTTTGTTCTAGTACTATTGGTTGAACTCTGTGATTAACACACAATTATTCTTAGGTGTTTAAATTTTAACTGAAAAATTATCCCTATTAAATATAAGAGTGGGAATAAGAGAGGGAGGAGATGTACAATTTGGGACATGCCCAATCGGACTTGCCCCAAATGGTGGAGTTAGAATCATGCCGGGGGATCCCAATACAATCCCTTCAAGGTGGCATGTACCAATCCCACCTCACTAGTCCAAGTGATCAATTTCAGTTCACAATTGATCACACTGATAGGTCTAAGAGTCAAAGGGATCACACAAACAAATCTAGTGCATTTTTATTTTTAATTGATTGATCGAATAATTAATTAATTATTTTTCCCATAAATCTTTTTTAAAAGATTCATTTTATTTATTTAAAAGACAGAGTTACAGAGAGAGGTCGTTTATCTGCTGTGTCACTCCCCAGATGGTTGCAATGACTGGAGCTGTGCCGCTCCAAAGCCAGGAGCCAGGAGCTTCCTCCAGGTCTACCACATGGGTGCAGGGGTCCAAGGTCTTGGGCCATCCTCCACTGCTTTCCCAGGCCATAGCAGAGAGCTGAATTGGCTTCAGACTGGTGCAGCTCCAGCCACTGCAGCCAACTGGGGAGTGAACCATCAGATGGAAGCTTCCTTTCTCTCATAGAGAGAGGAGAGGCACTGAGGAGAGAGGGGAGGGTGAAAGGTCTTCCATCTACTGATTCACTCCCCAAATATCCTACATATTGGAAGCAGGGCTAAACTGAAGACAAGAGTATGCAACCCCATCTGGGTCTCCTCTATGGGTGGCAGGAACTCAAGTTCCTGCATTATAAGGAAGCTTGGCAAGAAGTGCAACAGCCAGGACTTGAACCAGCACTCTGATATAAGAAGCAGATATCCGAAGCAGTTGTAACCCACTGTGCCACAATGCCTACCCCTTGTTTCCCATTTTCTTGCTTTCACATGGGTTATTTGATATTTTTTCAGAATTCAAATTTGATTCATCTATAGTGCTCTGAATTTTATCTCTCTCTATATGTTTAGTGTTTACCATAGATATCACAACATGTAACTTACGCAGTTGACATTTTAGTACTTTAAGAAAACTATGAAAATCTTACTTCTATTTAATTAGTTTTACCTTTTCCTATTTTGAAAAATTATCTTAAGTATTTCCTCTATGTACATTGAGTGCAATATCAAATGATATATATATATATATATATATATATATATATATTTTGCTCCAGCTGCAGGCAGTGGCTTTACTCACTATGCCACAGAGCCTGCCCCAAATAAATAAATCTTAAAAAAATGAGGGTACTGACACTATGACCTGGTGGTGACTAGTGGTGCCTGCAGTGCCAGAATCCCATATGGGCACCTGTTCATTTCCTGGCTGCTCCATTTCCGATCCAGCTCCCTGTTAATGATTCTAGGAAAGCAGCAGAAGATGATCAATTCTTTGGATCCCTGCACCTGCATGGGAAATCCTGAAGAAACTCCTGGCTCCTGGCTTCAGAAAGGTTCTGTTGCAGCCCTTTGGGGAGTGAGCCAGTCAATGGAAGACCTGTCTCTCTATTACTGCCACTCCGTAACTCTCCCTTTCAAATAATTACATAAATACATCTTAAAAAATAAAGTGGGAAACAAAAGAATGAGAAAAAGCAACAAGAGAAACAGAATACAAATATAGAGTAGTTCCTAAGACATAAATAAGTCAATAAATTATTTAAATAAATTAAATGGAAGGCTCAACTAAAGGAAAGATTATCAAGTGCATTTAAAAGTGATCAATTTATATACTGTCTGTAACTTCAAGTATAACAGTATGAAGCTACTTCAAAATATTTCTGAAAAATTGAATTAAAATATCAGGCTATTTTGGTACAAAAATTTTTAAATGTGAAAACAGCCTTGTGGCATAGCAGCTAAAGGCACCCATCTGGTATTCTGGCATCCCATATGAGCACTTGTTCATGTCCTGGCTGCTCCACTTTCTTTTCTTTTCTTTTTTTAAGAATTATTTTATTTATTTGAAAGGCAGAGTTACAGAGAGAGGTATTCCATTCCTCTGGTTCACTCCCCAAATGGCCGCAACGGCCAGAGCTGAGCTAATCTGAAGCCAGGAGCTAGGAGCTTCTTCTGGGTCTCCCAGGAGGGTGCAGGGGGCCCAAGAATTTGGGCAATTTTGTACTGCTTTCCCAGGCCATAGCAGAGAGTTGTATTGGAAGTGGAGCAGCTGGGACTCGAACCTGGTGGCCATGTAGGATGCTGCTCTACAGGCTGGGGCCTTAACCCACTACACCACAGCACTGGCCCCTGCTCCACTTTTGATCCAGCTCCTTTATAATGGCCTGGGAAAAGCAGTGAAATACAACCAAAGTACTTTGACCTCTGCATCCATATGGGAGACCAGGAAGAAACTCCTGGCTCCTGGCTTTGATCTGGCCCAATACTGGCCATTGTGGACATCTGAGAAGTGAACCAGCAGATGGAAGATCTCTGTCTCTGTCTCTTTCAGTAACTCTGCCTTTCAAATAGATAAATAAATCTTCAAAAAATTTAAATGTATGCATTTTCCATGAATTTTGTGAACTGTCCTCATATAAGTAGATTGAAAGTAAAAGAATAGGAGAAGAATACCTAACATATATGCCAGGCATTTCTCAAAGAAGGTGCAAAAATAATATTGAAAAAAAAGTACATAGCATTCCTGTTTTTTACAGCTCAGATTCAATTATTTGTGGGTTCAGAATGTGTGTTTATATGCTGTGGGAAGAATAAGAGCAAGAAACAGATAAATGTATAACTATGGACAAATGATGTGAATTCTGCAGTGATCATACTGCTTTTCTATTTGGGAATGTGGATGTGATTCATTTGGTAGGAAACCAAGTGTATGTAGAATGTTGTTCCAAAAAATGAATGTCATTATCTTAAACCAGGCTGTAGATGCAGGGTAAGTAATCTCTGTCAGCTGCAAATTCTGATCTCTGGGGAAGCAGATGAAGAACATAGGTCTTCCAACTTTTAATGAGATCCCTTGATTTTCTCAACCATAAAAACCCTTGGGCCATATTAGTAGTTGGCATTTCTGGTACTGGAAAACACTACTTATCATACACTAGGCTGGCAAGAAAACTCCGGTCAAAGCCATCACCCAAAACAATGACCTGTTATTCATGGCGTCCTAGAGTCTGGATAACTGAGGAATGTGTTCTAGTCCCTCATTCCCAAACTAGCCTCAAACAAAAAGTATCTCCTTTCTGGTCTGTTCATTGGTAAAATTCATCAGCATCACTTGCTCCTTCGTGAAAATAGGGGAGAAGTATTAACAAGGTCCTCCCTTGGATCTCAAGACAAGAGGGTGAGTGTTGATTGTGTCTGTTCTGCTAACTCCTTCCAAATCCTATTTGTGGGAGCCTGGGAATCCTTGTAATGTCTTATCTTTTCTTTGCTGAGAACTCTATTGACCCTGAGGTAGGCAGACATGGACTGGAGATGCTATAGAGGAAGAGTTGTCTTAGAGACCCTGCATCTCTTTCCTGCAGAAATTGCCTTCCCAGATGTACTCGACACTAATCTTTACACATTCTCTCCATTGTATAAACTGCAAAAAATGAAGATGCACAGAGGATAGGCTGGAGTTCTCTTCCCCATTCTGGGTTTCAATGTCATTAGAGTAGGGATGGGTGAAAAGATCTGGGTTCTCATATTTTTAAATTCCTATTTTTTTCTCTTTCCACAGATATGTCCAACGGAAGAATAGCCTCAGGAAATGACTCCTCAGTGACTGAGTTTATCCTGCTGGGATTAACTCAACAGCCAGAACTGCAGCTGCCTCTCTTCTTCCTCTTCCTGGGAATCTATGTGGTCACTGTGGTGGGGAACCTGGGTTTGATTGTTCTGATTGGTCTGAACCCTCACCTGCACACTCCCATGTACTACTTCCTCTTCAATCTGTCCTTCATTGATCTCTGCTACTCCTGTGTCATAAGTCCCAGAATGCTGGTGAGTTTTGTGAAACAGAACATCATCTCCTATGCTGAGTGCATGACTCAGCTCTTTTTCTACTCCTTTTTTGTAATTGATGAGTGCTGTATCTTGACATCAATGGCCTATGATCGGTATGTGGCCATCTGCAAGCCCCTGCTGTACAAAGTCACCATGTCCCTTCAGGTCTGCCTCATGCTAACAGTATGGACATTTGTAATGGGGTTTGCAGGTGCTGTGGCCCACACTGCATGCATGCTGAGACTCACTTTCTGTGACAGCAACATCATCAATCATTTTGCATGTGACATCCATCCACTTCTCCAGCTCTCCTGCACAAGCACCTACATCAATGAGCTGGTGGCTTTCATTGTGGTGGGAATCAATGTAACAGTGCCCAGTCTCACCCTCTTTGTTTCTTATACTCAGATCCTCTCCAACATCCTCCGCATCCATTCTACCCATGGCAGGTCCAAAGCCTTCAGTACTTGCAGTTCACACATAATTGCTGTTTGTCTCTTCTTTGGATCTGCAGCATTCATGTTCCTAAAGCCTTCTCATGCTGAGTCTCTGCCTCAAGATAAAGTACCCCCTATTTTTTATACCATTGTGGGGCCAATGATGAATCCTTTCATCTATAGCTTGCGGAACAAAGATGTCCATGTTGCACTGAGTAAGACTTTGAAGAAAAGCATCCTTTTTAAATCATAGCTGTGTTTTTGTTACAGATTCCAATTCCTAATAAGGGCACATTACATATAAATTCAGAGAGAGAAGAGTAAACAATCCAAATAAAAATGCAAATGATTTAATGATATGAAAAATAATTAGTTGTAGGTATCATTCACAACTCAAGAAAATGAATGTAAAAGGAGTATTAGACCTTCAATCATTCAGAGAGAATTTGTAGAACAGTTCCTCCTATTATTCTCCAGCTTCCTTTAAGTAATTATGGTGTTATTAGGAGGAAAAGCTGGATGACACTAACTTCTAGGGCCTCAGGGTTGGAATATAGATGCTGGGTCATGCTATACATTAACTGGAACAATATTCCTACAAGTGTTTTATGATGCATTGTGGAGAAATTTTTCCCTTTCACCAAATAGATTTTAAAATCTTAATTCACCATCAGTCATATTTTCTCTGTATTATTATTGTTTATTTGAAATACAGAGTGAGAGTGAGAGTGAGAGTGAGAGTGAGAGAAAGAGAGAGAGAGAGATAAATCTTCTATTCGCTGCTTCATACTCCCCAAATGACTGAAAAGGCAGAGCTGGACCAAGCTGAAACCAGAGACCAGGACCTCAACCCAGGTCTCCTATGAATGTGACTGGGACCCAGCTATTGGAGGCATCACCTGCCATCTCCCAGGTTGTACATAAACTGGAAGCTAGATTACAGTATGAAATGTAGGCATTCCAAGCAGCAGCTTAGCTGTTGTACACAAATAGCAAGCTGCTCCAGTTCTGATCCAGCTCCCTGTTGATGTGCCTGGGAAAGCAGCAGAAGATTGGCTCCTGCAGCCATGCAGGACAACTGGATGAAACTCTTAGATCCCAGTTTTGGCCTGGCTCATCCCCAGATGTTGTGGCCATTTTGGGGAGTAAACCAGTGGATGGAAGACCTCTCTTGTCTCTGTAATTCTGCCTTTCAAATAAAATAAATAAATCTTTTTAAAAATTCAGAGCTATTTAGTGTTATTTAAAAGATAATGTGTAGTGGATTTCACTACAGATCACCATAGAACCGTTGGCATAACTCCAGGATATGTTACAAATTAGATAAGATGGGAGGAGAAAGAAGAGTTAATGTTTTTATGTGATTAGTATCAAATAAGTTATTTTTGGGTAAAAATAACAACCACTTTTCAAAGGTTGCAAAGCCTTGATCCCTAAAGTTTATTTCCTAAATCTTTGCCTGCACACATAATATCCTATTATATATCCCTCCTAACCACACCACTGTCACGCTGCTTGTCACACTCATCAGGATGGTCTGCGACTTTGCCTCAGCCACTCTGTCTGACTGGAATGCTCCATGTGCTTGGCTCCCTCCTGTCAATAAGTTCTCAGTGTAAATTTCACCTCCTCAAAAAGCCCTCCCTGGCCACCAGTTCAAAGACATCATACAAGTACTCTCTGTATCATTGCTTTAGTATAAGACTCTATATGACACTTCTAGGATACGTACACATGTATCTGGTCACTCATTGTGTGTCCTTATTCAAAAGTTTAATCCATTAAATGGCTTTTACTCTGAGTGAGATAAGGTATTTGTGAAATCACTATTGTATAGTTCATGAATTGACTTGAAAAAATAGAATTAAGAAAGCAGAACTCGGCTGGTGCCGCGGTTCACTTGGCTAATCCTCCGCCTGTGGTACCAGCACCCCGGGTTCTAGTCCCGGTTGGGGCATCAGATTCTGTCCCAGTTGCTCCTCTTCCAGTCCAGCTCTCTGCTGTGGCGCGGGAAGGCAGTGGAGGATGGCCCAAGTGCTTGAGCCCTGCACCTGCATGGGAGACTAGGAGGAAGCACCTGGCTCCTGGCTTCGGATCAACACAGTGCACCGGCCGCAGCGCGGTGGCCTTTGCGGCCATTTTGGGGGGGTGAACCAAAAGGAAGACCTTTATCTCTGTCTCTCTCTCTCTCTCTCACTGAGAGTGAGAGACCTCTCTCTGTCTGAACCTGTTTTTTTTTTTTTTTTTGCATTTTTATTTTTTTCAACAGGTTTTTTTTTTTAAATTTTTTATTTAGTAAATATAAATTTTCAAAGTACAGTTAATGGATTACAGTGGCTCCCCCCCCATAATTTCCCTACCACTCACACCCCTCCCATCTCCTGCTCCCTCTCCCATCCCATTCTTCATCAAGATTCATTTTCAATTATCTTTATATTCAGATATATACTAAGTAAAGATTTCAACAGTTTGCACCCACACAGATACACAAAGTATAAAGTACTGTTTGGGTAGTAGTTTTACTGTTAATTCTCATAGTACAACACATTAAGGACAGAGGTCCTACATGGGGAGTAAGTGCACAGTGACTCCCGCTGTTGATTTAACAATCGACACTCTTATTTATGATGTCAGTAGTCACTCAAGGCTCTCATCATGAGCTGCCAAGGCTATGGAAGCCTCTTGAGTTCAGTAACTCTGATCTTATTTAGACAAGGCCATAGTCAAAGTGGAAGTTCTCTCCTCCCTTCAGAGAAAGGTACCTCCTTCTGTGATGGCCGGTTCTTTCTGCTGGGATCTCACTTGTGGAGATCTTTCATTTAGGTCATTTTTTTTTGCCAGAGTATTTTGTCTTTCCATGCCTGAAATACTCTCTTGGGCTTTTTAGCTGGATCTGAATGCACTAAGGGCTGATTCTGAGGCCAGAGTGCTGTTCAGGGCATTTGCCACAGAATGCGCTTTAAAAAATTTTTTTTTATTTATTTGAAAGTCAGAGAGAGAGGAAAAGACAGACACACACAGAGAGAGAGATTGTTCATCCTTTGTTTCACTCTGAAGATAACCGCAAGGCCTGGGCCTGGGTTGGAATCTAGGAGCCAGTAACTCCATTCTTGTCTCCCACATGGGTGGCAGGTTCCTAACCCTTGGGTCACCTTGTGTTGTGTGTCAGCAGGGAGCTAGATTGGAAGTGGAGCAGCCAGGCCTGGAACTGATTCAGCACTTACGAAGGATGCTGGCATCCCAGGGTGCAGCTTAACCTGCTCTGCCACAATGCCTTCCCCAGGAATTCCAATTTTTTAAGTGCATTCTAACATATGATTTCTCCCCCCACCCCCACCATTCTTTTCAAAGTGAATTACTTTATGTTTTATGATAAAAGCCATATTAAGGTAGAAATTGATATATCATTTTGATTTTGGTAGCATTTCCCTGAAGATTAGTGTGGAAATGACCAATAACAAATTGGAGCCATTTGTGTTAAAACCCTGATCAAAATCAAATGACAGGTGTACCTAAGGAAGAGATCTTGAATTGGCATTGTGATAAGTGAATTGAGCTGCTGTGTGAGATGCTTGCTTCCTATATGGGAGTGCATGGGATCGAATCTCTCCTCCTCTTCCACTTCAGCTCCTGCTTATGCACCTGGGAGACAACAGATGATGGTCCAAGTACTTGGGTTTGTGCCACCTACATGAGAGACCAGGATAGAGCTCCTGGTTCCTGACTTCAGCCTGTCCAGCCCTGGATTGGAGAATCAGCCAGTGTGTGGAAATTCTGTCTCTCTTTCTCTTTTCCCTTCTCCATTTCAAATAAATAAACTTTTATGTTCACTCCAGAAACACCTGTGTATTGCACTTCTCCTTGAACCAGATATTATCATAGGAAATTTCTCTGGCCTGCAGTATTTTAGACAAGGTCCTGGTATCAGGAAAGTTGCCTAGAAGAACTGACTCTGAGAAGGGAAAAACACTCACTCCTGCACTATGTTCTTTTGCCCAGTGAGCTTTATTGAAAAGAGCTTGCATATACTTTACTCTCTCTCTGAAAGTTACTCCTTTGTCCTGATTTCCTCAGATGTATCCAGGAATTTGACAGCATGCCCAAGCTGTATTACAACACTTCTGCTATTGCAAAATAAAATCTCATGTTCTTTTGGACCTATATATGATTTTTTAAATAATTTTGACACTAGTATTGCATAATACTAATACTGCATAAAACCAACAGTTTTTCTCTGGATTCAGAGTCCCGAGTGCTCACCATTCTATAATAGGACAACTCCAGTTGTTTTTCTCTATACTCACACTCAACATGTGACGAGGCCAAGGCAACTTCAGCTGGCTGACAAGGTCACAGCAGAAGGTCTGTCTCAGCAAGGCATGAGAAGGACAGCTGCGGTCCTCTTGGTGGTTTTAGGTTTGATGGGAACTACAAGCTGGAGCTTCCTGGTGGTCCTGCTAATGGTTGCTGTATTCCTAATTTTATAGAAGAGCACTTAGTCTCATAACCTCCAATATGTCCATTGCCTTATAGAAGTTTAATCAAGCAGAATGTTAGTGTAGAAGAGAGGGTTAATGCCTTATGCAAGGTTGAGCTGCTTGTAGAAAAGAATTAAAAGGCAACAGGCTCTCTGGTATATACTTCCCACTAGAATAAAGATAGATGTTAATAAAGCTTTAATTCACTATATGCTACAAATACTACAATGGTTAGGATGTCAAAACTGTAGAAGAGAGCTAAGTGAACCTTTAAATAAGTACAATAAAGAAATTAAAAAATTACAGAAAGAATTGCAAAGAGGGAATACATTTTAAAAAGGGTCTACTTTGAACTTGGGGCTTCTAGTAAAGATTAGATTAGAAAGGTACTATTCTAGCTTATGTAGCCAATTTCTGCATAGTTCAGCAGCACTTGAGGCCCTGGCTTGTGGGGGCAGCCTGTTATCTTGCACCTGTCTGTGATTGTTACCCATGCTCTAATAAGTCCTTGAAAATCAAAAAAACTGTAATTAGAAAAAATGGACAACAGGCTTTTCATTGTAAGAAGAAAAAATCATTATGTGGCTTATGATATAAAAATAAAGTCTGGGGCTCGAGAGCCAGAGCCATGCCACCAGCACTGCTGTGAGTGTCTCTCATTTCTTCGAGCGCCAACACCTCTCACACCTTGGGGCCCCTGGACTGGCTGGAGCTGGTCTCCGGCAAACATGAAACATTTCTGTGAGGTGTGTGAGGTATTTCCCTACCAACCAATTCTCTCACACCTGGGTTTCCTATAATTTACCTCCATTCTGACCCTGTCTATCAGAAGTTAGTGTTAAATCTCAGGTTGCGGGTGAGTTTCACAAGAACAACCTAAGCACAGCCTGTGCAAGGGCAGGCTGTTAGCTGTGCTTCTGACTGACTGGCTCTAAATCAGTTGCACTTTCAATTCTCATGTTCCATCATGAAGGTGATCATAATCAGCATGATCATGAGAGTCATCATGGCTCAGAGGACTCAGGAAAGCTCTTTATTTACACACGGGTTATACAGCTGAGGAACAGCAGATGAAAGTGATGCTAAGGAGAGGTTTGGAAGGGTCCTCAGTACATGTGCTTTGTTCCTGTAGGGCTGGGGAGCATCATGAGGCAAGCAGATGTGTTCTTGTTCACCAACTCAGAAGCTCCCTGAATTCCTTCCTTTTGGTTTTCTTTGGAGGTATC